GGCGGGATATTCAGGGCACAGACCGTGATCATAAGATAGCGCGAATAGAAAATAGATTTTTAGAAAATAGACATTCCATGTGAACGAAGCCTTACTCAGAAAAGTAGATTTAACATAATGGGTATCAATGTGGCAATGCATTGTGAAATACCGTATATCTATATTCAATCTTTCACAGCTTGGGCATTTGTAATGAAGCCATAAGCATTCTTTGTCTGCCTCTTTTCCATCATCACCATTTTCCTGAACAGATGGGGTTACTTCAAGTAGACCAAAACTAGAGAATCTCCTCACTGATACTGACGAGCTGTTAATATCTCTCGACTTTCTGCCTCTCAAAACCTGAAAAATATTTTTGAAATTATAAATAAAACTTCCAAAAACGTGCATATGTCGCAAGTAATGTGAAACTGTACCAGTACAGTACAAGTCAACTTGCCGATGACTTGTTACTAAAGACCACTAAATACTTTTCTCACTCTTAGCTGTTCGTTTTTCTTGCAGGAGTCAAAACTTGTCGAAGTCGTTAAAAACAAGACCAATGCAAAAACGTCAAAAACTTTCACGAAATTTCTTGTAGAGGTTAAAAAACTTACATCCCCTAGCATTAACCATCGTTGTCTAGCGACTGAAATATCAACTTGTTTCACAGCTTTGCAATCCCCCCTCACGTCGGCCATTTTGACGCTTAAGTCCTTGGTAGCATAGTTTCGAATCCTACAATTAGCTTACCAAACCTCTTAAATTGGTTGTAAATTTATAATCATTTTTTAAAAAGCTAATTGTTTTAAAAATAGCATATATTTTGTTAAAGGTTGCCTGTTTCTACTTTGTGTATATTCGAAACAGAATATAAGGTTAGAATATACGCTTAGCATTTGTTGTGAAGCGCGTCTTTCGAAGCGCTTGCACAGTTGTTACAAGAAAAAAGGTACTGCGTTACTGTTTATGCATTTTATGAAGGAACATGGGCTCATAAATTTATGTTGAATTTTTATTAACAGCAGTTACAAGTCTGTAAAATGCGCTTACGTACGTGTTTTTGCATGTTTTAAGTGATAAACTACAATTTTCAGTCTCACAGTGACAAAGGCACTCAGTCGTTGACCCTGAAAGTCACTGACTCAGTAACAAGATTTCCATGTTGAACACAATAAGACATAAGGTATTCTGAAGGCCATTATATAGATAATTAACTTTCTTAATTTGTATTGCAGTTCTAAATTTAAGATACAAAAAGGAAGTCAATATGACGTCCAACGCAGTGCACAAGATATTTCACCAAAGGAGAGCCTCTTTGGCAAATGAACAACGAAACTACATTCAGAATACCTATCGTAACATGAGTCACAGAAGGAAAACATTAGGAACAGCATTAGAAGCGTCTGGAATAAAAGACAATATTGTTGAAGAGGAGGAGGAGGAGGAACAAACTGCATTGATGATGAAAAGGTCTCAGACTCAAGAATCAGCCCATCTGCGTAGATCGTTTTCTGTTTTGTTTGAGAGTCCTGATAAAGATAAGGAAGAGATGGCAGATTTTATAGAGGTATGGAGTGTTCTGTGTATGGTGCCTTTTGTACTCTTCAGTATTTTATACAGGTTTTAATTTTTCAAACATTTACCTGTGACATGATATTGGTCTTTTCATTTTTTAAAAAAATTTTCTTCATACTCAACCCTTCTATACATTCAACAAATTTAAGATACAAATTTGCTAATTCAATATAATGCTTTTCATGCTTTTCTTTATTTACACCATTCAGATTGTGGCAGAAATGAAGAAATATATTGATGAAATATCATTATATTTATATAAGCACAATTACAATATGCTGTGAAAACAGAATTTGCCTAGTTATTTCAATAGAAAAGAATAAAGAAAGAAAGGGATACATTAGTTAAGTCATTTTAAAGTATCATTTTCTTAGTGATTTCTTTTTTCAGGCTTATGTTGTAAAACAGCGAGAAAGTCTGTCAGAGGCAATGAGACTGAGAGAAGAAGTGGAGTCTCCCACTGACAAACTGACCACTGGCGAGCGCCATCGGCGTCAGAAGATCTTGAAGCCAGATGCAGGCCAGCTCCATCAGCTCTTGTATGATTTTGTGGAGTCCAAAGGCTTTGGTGCCTTCATTCTGACTGTGATCTTTATGAACACAGGAATGTTGGTAGCCCAAACGTGGGAAGAAATTATGGTTAGAGGAGGTAATTGTGAAACCTGAATCAACTTAATATACTTATTGTTGAAAAAGAATAGAGTTGATACAAATCCAGCTGGACTTGAATTAGCATAATTATCATATCTGCTAGATATGTTTTCTTTCATCAATATAAGAAAATATCTCATCATGGGAAATTTTTAGTTTAGGCAACAAACATTCTTCTCAGAGCATATATTAAACATGCATGCTTTAACACTGTTCATTATGTAATTTGATTTTATTTGCAATGTTCCATTTGTCACCTATGAGTTATTGTATAACTTTACTTATATATATATTTTTTTAACCAAATTTCTGTCAGGCTGGTATTTCTCTGTGTTTGATAATTTATTCCTGGGTATATACATTATGGAAGTAGTTCTCAAGATTTATGTCTACAGAGCAAAGTTTGTAGGAGGATGGAATATATTAGGTAAGCACTGGGGCTTCTCTTATATTCTCTAAAACAGGAGAATGTATTATTTATTATTTTGTATAATTATTATTAATTGCACTTACATGGGGGACTCACTATTTTTATTGAAAACGTATCAGATATGATGTTTTACTAATTCTTAGTATTTATTATCCTTTTTAGAATGTGAACAAAATGCAAAATCTTTTTTTTTTTTGTTTTAAGTTGACCGTGTACATTTTGATGTATCCATAAATGTTTCTTTCTTTCATTCATTTTTATTTGCCCTTCATATTGTATGGATAATTCAATATAGCTGAGTGCAAAATCCTCGCATATATTGTTGAAAACCGTAGATGCCAAAGAGAAAAGATTACATATTAATAGAACTTTGTTAATTCTCTTGCAGATTTGAGCATAGTTATTTTGAGTCTAGTGGACTTCATTCTTCCATTGGTGATGACCAGTATTGGTGGATTTAATGGCACTGCTATCTTCAGAATGCTCAGAATATTCCGTGCTGTGAGGGCGATCAGGGCATTGAGAGTGCTTCGTACCATCAGGTAAATCATATTGAAAAAAAAAAGAAAATGGTATGGTAATGGTTAGGGGTACCACAGAAGAAATGGGAAGCTTTTTTATGTTTTTGGGGGGTGGTGGTGGGGGGGGGGGGTAAACTAAGTCAGGGTATAAGACTTTTTGAACTCTTAGTATTTTATTTATTACACTAATGAAGGCCAAAAATTTAATGAATCCCCGTGGTATGTCAAATAACACTTCATGTGTAACTCTTAAATCAGTAATGTAACTGTCTTCAATGTCATAAAATGTGCTTGTAGAATTTAGTGCAACACTGCATGTCAGCTGTTGTTTTGAGCTAAGTGAATTCACAAGCTTAGTAATGTTGAAAAACACCTAGTTTTAATCAAAACGATACAAAACAAAATTCTGTTTTATTTATCTTCATTTTCTATTTCACAATTCCCAGGTTTCTTTCCAATCTCCAAGTTATTATGACCACCTGTCTGCAGTCTATTCAGTCCATGGGGGCCATTGTGGGACTGATGACACTCTTCATGTGTATCCTCTGATAAATTGTGAACACCTTTGCTTTAGTGATTCTATCACATTCAGAACAGACATTTAATCCAGACTGAGCTTAAGCTCTGGGGTTTACCAGCACCTTCATTTTCAATTCTGTATTCATACACACAGGATTTTTACAGAATTGGATTTTAGTGTATTGTGTCAATCACAAACTCTCTATCATTATCCAAATTTTGTGCTTCCAAAAAAGGAGGTAACATATAGTTAATAGCCCTGTTTAAAACTTGTGCCATGACTGAGATCAGACTGATAAATAAGCATGCATATATTGCATTTTGAAAATGAAGATGTTTGCCCATTTCAGATTTGAAACTCAAGCTGTGTTAATCAAATTTACCAGTAATTGCTCATTTACCATTACAAACTTACCATATAACATAACTTACCTGAAAACACATTAAACTGGCCACTTGGAAATGGAGAGAAATGTTAAATAAAAAAGAGAAAAGGTTGTGGGTGGTGGTGTAGAAATAAGTTCTCTGCTTTATATCTTGGCTACCTTGACTTTTACATCAGATATGTTTGCAGTGATAGGGCGTGGTCTGTATAGTGGGGTGGACCCTAACAGGTTTGGTACATTACCCTCAGCTACCTTCACACTGTTTCAGCTGCTTACTCTGGATGACTGGTTCTACATATACAGTGATGTCATTGACGTTTACCCAGGTCTGTCAGCACTTCAACACTTTAATAATTTTCTCTTTTAATAAATTAATATATATTCAACTCTGTCAAAACTTTAATTTGGTAAGAAGAACATACGCTAAATCAGTATTGTGTGATTGAGATTTTGAGTGAACTTTATTATGTTTATAAAGGCAGTTGAGATAGAATTATTTACATAACTCCTTTATGCTGAGTTTGAGGTACATTTTCAGACTTTAAAGAATAAATTTGTACTTTTACATTTGGTAATGCCAAATGCAATAATGTTTTCATTTTTATTTTCAGGTTATTGGCACATTCTGATTTTTCTTCTCATTTACATTGTTTTGGAGTATTTTATCTTTCTCAAGTAAGTAGATTTTCATAATAAGTTGAAATAAATTAAGTGAAAATACTTAAATTGTTGTGCAGAATGAAAAAAGTTTCTTTATTCTGACAAAATATTCAACATTTTCAAAGCTGTTCTCATTGATATATTTTTTTTTTTGTTTTTTTTTTTGATATAGGTGAATCATTTTCAAATGAATGAATAAATTGAAAGTTGAATGGAGATGATATAACATTAAAAGAGTGACATGAAAGCAGCCTCATTAAAAAAGAAATTAATTGTTAAAAAAAAAAGCTTCAGCTTTTGCACATGTGTCATTTCCTGGTGTATGGGTATTAGCTCATGCAGGAAAATATTTGAACTGTATTAATTTTACAATCTTTTCATTATCAACATATCTTTTGTCTTACAGCTTGTTTGTTGCTGTTCTGGTTGATAATTTTCAACTTACTTTGGAAGCAGCAAATGAAGCAAAAAAGGGCAAGAAAAAGGTATAAGTATAGCCCTTTTTTCTGAAAAAGCTTGAAGTAAATATGACATATAAATGTGATTGCAAAATGACTTTGATGGAAATATTTTAATTAAGTTTGACTTGTTTCAGCATCCAGATGATAGTGATGATGAAGACGATATTTTTGCAGTATCTGAGGTTTCTGGTAAGTATTATATTTGTCGCATCATCACCTGTATGATGTTTGAGCACACATTGAGTGATTTTTGAAATTGCAGATTTACATTTCTGTTATTAAGTATCATTTCATTTTTCTACCAGTGTCTCAAGCCTCCTTTTTTTTGTTTGTTCTCAAGTTGCTTATGATAAAGCACATGGGAGTCACATTTTCACTGTAAAATGTTAGAGAGAAAATAGTTTTTTGTAGTAACAGTTATACCTTGCACTTAAAATGTAATCCACCATTTTTGTAGTATGCCTACTTAAAATTATCTAAAGCATATTTTTATATTTAAGATGAAACTGACAGCACTCAAAACAGCCAAATGTCCTCAAGACTGCAGAGACAAACCATCACTGAATATTTTGGAGGTTCAGAATTAAAGGATAGGTTAGATATATAATAATAAAATTAATGTAGTTTAGTTAAGTCTCTAAATTAGCATTTTAATAAAACCCATATATATATATATGGCTTTTTGTAAAATTATGTTTTGAATTGCAGATTTTAATATTTTCAAAGTAAAATGACCAAACAAGTTATTAACATCTGTGATATCGAGGAGAAGAGAAATTTTAGGAAATGTCTTATCTATGGCCAGCTGTTTGTTTTCAGAGAAATATCCCAAATGAGGACAATCTTCCAGTTGTTGGCAGCCCTGGAGTACAACCACAGCACTCTGAAGAGCCAGCAGCAGGTGGTGGACCTCATGGTAGACACGTGTACTGAGGTGGGTAGTCTGCTCCCTAGTTATTACAGCTGATTAGTACTAATTATCACAGATAATTAGTGCTGGTTATTACAGCTAATAAGTACTAGTCATTACAGCAAATTCTTACTAGTGATTACAGTACTAGTTATTAAAGCTTATTAGTATTAGTTACGATGATATTAAGGCCCAGTTGAGATGTAATTTGCTCTTGTATGTCTCATACAGTGGACCACTAGTAGTTGTAACTGATCAGGACTTATATCACGGCTGGCACTTCAAACAACAGGATGAATCTATTGTACACTTAAATTGAGGTCATTAATTGGCAACAATAACAGTTGGATTTTTTCTTTAATGAATGTGAAATTGCTTAAAATATACCATGATAATTTTCCTTTTGCCAAACTGCATGTTGTTATACCGGTAGTAAGTGACAATTAAATCCCGAACATAGAAAATATTAAAATAGAATGGAGACAGGCCTACATCGCAGAGAGAAATATAAGTCTGAGAAACATGACAATAGATAAATTTAATGAAAAATGGAAAAAGCTGCAGCCTCTCTTCCTGGAATGATATCTTCTATCTGCGTATGTTCCCCTGTCGATATTTGATAGTAAAACACATATTTGTTTTTATCTGTATTAGATCATATTATTTATTAAGTATTATTAAGTATTTTACTATTAGGTTATCAATATATCGTTGTTGACATATATATTAAATGACACAGTAACTATACATATATATATTGCAAATGACTGAGTGTCTCTTTGTGAGTGAGTGAGTGAGTGAGAGAGTGAGTGTGATTTTTATTTAGTTATTTATAAATTTTATATTTTTTGCTGAAATCTGTACTTATTTGAGATTTGCAATTAAAAAAAAAAAAAAAAAAAAAAAGTGACAATTAAATGATGTGAAAGCATTAAACTTTATATGGTCGGTATTACCTTATAAGTACTAGTATTTAGAAGCAGGCATTTTTACTGTTGGTAATCAAAATATGAAAAAAACAACACTTGTTTTTATACTTTCTTTATTTACTGTAAAGAAATATATAGCAAGACAGTTAGCAAAACAAGATAGATGAACACATTAGTAAAAAATATAAAATTCAATACAATTTATAAAATGCTCTCTGTTTTCAGACAAATGATGACATGTAATGGCGGTGGGATTGGACGGAAATTTTCACAACAAAGGAATGCTGATGACATTTATGCAAAGTAACTTGAAAATATTAAGTTACATATGATTTACACAAACAATTTTACTGATGATCAGAGGTTGTTACATATAGCCTCATAAAATTCAATACTATGTACATAGTACACACATTTCCATTAATTTTACACAGTCACAAATTTAAAATAATCACTTCATCATATCTTTAATATATTATTTAAAATATACAATGTATATACTTCAAATAATATTTATACAAAAAAGTATGTGAATTCATTAACAGGTGGACAGCAAAATTTAAGCTTAACTGCACTTGAACTGTGATAAGCTGTGTCAATTAAATACATGTAAAATCACATTAAAAGATTTATTGAGCAACCCAATCATTTTTTCATACTGTCTCAATTGTTTCTTTATCATAATACTTTTGTCTTAAGGCAAAAGAAGAAAAAACAATATATTTTGGCATATGTTAGAGAATGAAGGGTCAGTGGGTTTCTAATTTCATTGGGCATTGTCTGTATTGTATAACCCNGAAGGGGTTACTTCAAGTAGACCAAAACTAGAGAATCTCCTCACTGATGCTGACGAGCTGTTAATATCTCTCGACTTTCTGCCTCTCAAAACCTAAAAAATATTTTTGAAATTATAAATAAAACTTCCAAAAACCTGCATATGTCGCAAGTAATGAGAAACTGTACCAGTACAGTACAAGTTAACTTGCCGATGACTTGTTACTAAAGACCACTAAATACTTGTCTCACTCTTACGAGTCTTAGCTGTTCGTTTTTCTTGCAGGAGTCAAAACTTGTCGAAGTCGTTAAAAACAAGACCAATGCAAAAACGTCAAAAACTTTCACGAAATTTCTTGTAGAGGTTAAAAAACTTACATCCCCTAGCATTAACCATCGTTGTCTAGCGACTGAAATATCAACTTGTTTCACAGCTTTGCAATCCCCCCTCACGTCGGCCATTTTGACGCTTAAGTCCTTGGTAGCATACTTTCGAATCCTACAATTAGCTTACCAAACCTCTTAAATTGCTTATAAATTTATAATTATTTTTTTAAAAAGCTAATTGTTTTAAAAATAGCATATATTTTGTTAAAGGTTGCCTGTTTCTACTTTGTGTATATTCGAAACAGAATATAAGGTTAGAATATACGCTTAGCATTTGTTGTGAAGCGCGTCTTTCGAAGCGCTCTTCAATAGGCTTGCACAGTTGTTACAAGAATAAAGGTACTGCGTTGCTGTTTATGCATTTTAAGAAGGAACATGGGCTCATAAATTTATGTTGAATTTTTATTAACAGCAGTTACAAGTCTGTAAAATGCGCTTACGTACGTGTTTTTGCATGTTTTAAGTGATAAACTACAATTTTCAGTCTCACAGTGACAAAGGCACTCAGTCGTTGACCCTGAAAGTCACTGACTCAGTAACAAGATTTCCATGTTGAACACAATAAGACATAAGGTATTCTGAAGGCCATTATATAGATAATTAACTTTCTTAATTTGTATTGCAGTTCTAAATTTAAGATACAAAAAGGAAGTCAATATGACGTCCAACGCAGTGCACAAGATATTTCACCAAAGGAGAGCCTCTTTGGCAAATGAACAACGAAACTACATTCAGAATACCTATCGTAACATGAGTCACAGAAGGAAAACATTAGGAACAGCATTAGAAGCGTCTGGAATAAAAGACAATATTGTTGAAGAGGAGGAGGAGGAGGAACAAACTGCATTGATGATGAAAAGGTCTCAGACTCAAGAATCAGCCCATCTGCGTAGATCGTTTTCTGTTCTGTTTGAGAGTCCTGATAAAGATAAGGAAGAGATGGCAGATTTTATAGAGGTATGGAGTGTTTTGTGTATGGTGCCTTTTGTACCCTTCAGTATTTTATACAGGTTTTAATTTTTCAAACATTTACCTGTGACATGATATTGGTCTTTTCATTTAAAAAAAAAATGTCTTCATACTCAACCATTCTATACATTCAACAAATTTAAGATACAAATTTGCTAATTCAATATCCGTAATGCTTTTCATGCTTTGCTTTATTTACACCATTCAGATTGTGGCAGAAATGAAGAAATATATTGATGAAATATCATTATATTTATATAAGCACAATTACAATATGCTGTGAAAACAGAATTTGCCTAGTTATTTCAATAGAAAAGAATAAAGAAAGAAAGAGATACATTAGTTAAGTCATTTTAAAGGATCATTTTCTTAGTGATTTCTTTTTTCAGGCTTATGTTGTAAAACAGCGCGAAAGTCTGTCAGAGGCAATGAGACTGAGAGAAGAAGTGGAGTCTCCCACTGACAAACTGACCACTGGCGAGCGCCATCGGCGTCAGAAGATCTTGAAGCAAGATGCAGGCCAGCTCCATCAGCTCTTGTATGATTTTGTGGAGTCCAAAGGCTTTGGTGCCTTCATTCTGACTGTGATCTTTATGAACACAGGAATGTTGGTAGCCCAAACGTGGGAAGAAATTATGGTTAGAGGAGGTAATTGTGAAACCTGAATCAACTTAATATACTTATTGTTGAAAAAGAATAGAGTTGATACAAATCCAGCTGGACTTGAATTAGCATAATTATCATATCTGCTAGATATGTTTTCTTTCATCAATATAAGAAAATATCACTTCATGGGAAATTTTCAATTTAGGCAACAAACATTCTTCTCAGGGCAACTGAGCATATATTAAACATACATGCTTTAACACTGTTCATTTTATTTGCAATGTTCAATTTGCCACCTATGAGTTATTGTATAACTTAAATTATATTTATTTTTTTTTTACCAAATTTCTGTCAGGCTGGTATTTCTCTGTGTTTGATAATTTATTCCTGGGTATATACATTATGGAAGTAGTTCTCAAGATTTATGTCTACAGAGCAAAGTTTGTAGGAGGATGGAATATATTAGGTAAGGACTGGGGCTTCTCTTATATTCTCTGAAACAGGAGAATGTATTATTTATTATTTTGTATTATTATTATTATTAAATGCACTTACATGGGGGACTCCTTATTTTTATTGAAAACGTATCAGATATGATGCTTTACAAATTCTAAGTATTTATTATCCTTTTTAGAATGTGAACAAAATGCAAAATCTTGTTTTGTTTTAAGGTGTACATTTTGATGTAAATGTTTCTTTCTTTCATTCATTTTTATTAGCCCCTTCATATTGTATGGATAATTCAATATAGCTGAGTGCAAAATCCTCGCATATATTGTTGAAAACCATAGATGCCAAAGAGAAAAGATTACATATTGATAGAACTTTGTTAATTCTTCTTGCAGATTTGAGCATAGTTATTTTGAGTCTTGTAGACTTTATTCTTCCATTGGTGATGACCAGTATTGGTGGATTTAACGGCACTGCTATCTTCAGAATGCTCAGAATATTCCGTGCTGTGAGGGCGATCAGGGCCTTGAGAGTGCTTCGTACCATCAGGTAAATCATATCGAAAAAAAAAAACAAAAACAATAGTATGGTATGGTTAGAGGTATCACAGAAGAAATAGAAGAAATGGGAAGCTTTTTAATGTTGTTGGGGGGGGGGGGGGCATGGAGGAGGGGGGGGGTTAAACTTAGTCAGGATATAAGACTTTCTGAACTCTTAGTATTTTATCTGTTACACTAATTAAGGCTAAAAATTTCATGAATCCCTGTGGTATGTCTAATAGCACTTCATTTGCAACTCTTAAATCAGTAACGTAACTGTCTTGAATGTCATAAAATGTGCTTGTATAATTTAGTGCAACACTGCATGTTTTAACAGTTAAAACTGTTGTTTTGAGCTAAGTGAATTCACAAGCTTACTAATGTTGAGAAACACCTAATTTTAATCAGAATTATACAAAACAAAATTCTGTTTTATTTATCTTCATTTTCTATTTCACATTTCCCAGGTTTCTTTCCAATCTCCAAGTTATTATGACCACCTGTCTGCAGTCTATTCAGTCCATGGGGGCCATTGTGGGACTGATGACACTCTTCATGTGTATCCTCTGATAAATTAGGAACACCTTTGATTAAGTGATTCTATCACATTCAGAGCAGACATTTAATCCACACTGAGCTTCATCTCTGGGGCTTACCAGCACCTTCGTTTTCAATTCTATATTCATACACACAGGACTTTTACAGAATTGGATTTTAGTGTATTGTGTCAATCACAAACTCTCTTTCATTATCCAAATTTTGTGCTTCCAAAAAAGGAGGTGACATGTACTTAATAGACCTGTTTAAACTTGTGCCATGACTGAAATCAGACTGAAATCAGACTGATAAATAAGCAGGCATATATTGCATTTTGAAAATGAAGAAGTTTGCCCATTTCAGATTTGAAACCCAAGCTGTGTTAATCAAATTTACCAGTAATTGCTCATTTACCATTACAAACTTACCATATAACATAACTTACCTGAAAACATACTGACCTGTTCACTTGGAAATGGAGAGAAACGCTAAACAAAAAAGAGAAAAGTGTGTGGGTGGTGGAGTAGAAATAATTTCTCTGCATTATCTTGGCTACCTTGACTTTTACATCAGATATGTTTGCAGTGATAGGGCGTGGTCTGTACAGTGGGGTGGACCCTAACAGGTTTGGTACATTACCCTCAGCTACCTTCACACTGTTTCAGCTGCTTACTCTGGACGATTGGTTCTATATATACAGTGATGTCATTGATGTTTACCCAGGTCTGTCAGCACTTCAACACTTGATGAATTTTTAATAATTTTCTCTTTTAATAAATTAATATATATTCGACTCTGTCAAAACTTTAATTTGGTAAGAAGAACATATGCTAAATCAGTATTGTGTGATTGAGATTTTGAGTGAACTTTATTATGTTTATAAAGGCAGTTGAGATAAAATTATTTACATAACTCCTTTATGCTGAGTTTGAGGTACATTTTCAGACTTTAAAGAATAAATTTGTACTTTTTCATTTGGTAATGCCAAATGCAATAATGTTTTCATTTTTATTTTCAGGTTATTGGCACATTCTGATTTTTCTTCTCATTTACATTGTTTTGGAGTATTTTATCTTTCTCAAGTAAGTAGATTTTCATAATAAGTTGAAATAAATTAAGTGAAAATACTTAAATTGTTGTGCAGAATGAAAAAAGTTTCTTTATTCTGACAAAATATTCAACATTTTCAAAGCTGTTCTCATTGATATATATTTTTTTTGTTTTTTTTTTAATATAGGTGAATCATTTTCAAATGAATGAATAAATTGAATGTTGAATGGAGATGATATAACATTAAAAGAGTGACATGAAAGCAGCCTCATTAAAAAAGAAATTAGTTGTTAAAAAAAAAAGCTTCAGCTTTTGCACATGTGTCATTTCCTGGTGTATGGGTATTAGCTCATGCAGGAAAATATTTGAACTGTATTAATTTTACAATCTTTTCATTTTCATCATATCTTTTGTCTTACAGCTTGTTTGTTGCTGTTCTGGTTGATAATTTTCAACTTACTTTGGAAGCAGCAAATGAAGCAAAAAAGGGCAAGAAAAAGGTATAAGTATAGCCCTTTTTTCTGAAAAAGCTTGAAGTAAATATGACATATAAATGTGATTGCAAAATGACTTTGATGGAAATATTTTAATTAAGTTTGACTTGTTTCAGCATCCAGATGATAGTGATGATGAAGACGACATTTTTGCAGTATCTGAGGTTTCTGGTAAGTATTGTATATGTCGCATCATCACCTGTATGTTGTTTGAGCACACATTGAGTGATTTTTGAAATTGCAGATTTACATTTCTGTTATTAAGTATCATTTCATTTTTCTACCAGTGTCTCAAGCCTCCTTTTTTTGTTTGTTTTCAAGTTGCTTATGATAAAGCACATGGGAGTCACATTTTCACTGTAAAATGTTAGAGAGAAAATAGTTTTTTGTAGTAACAGTTATACCTTGCACTTAAAATGTAATCCACCATTTTTGTTGTATGCCTACTTAAAATTATCTAAAGCATATTTTTATATTTAAGATGAAACTGACAGCACTCAAAACAGCCAAATGTCCTCAAGACTGCAGAGACAAACCATCACTGAATATTTTGGAGGTTCAGAATTAAAGGATAGGTTAGATATATAATAACAAAATTAATGTAGTTTAGTTAAGTCTCTAAATTAGCATTTTAAAAAACCCACATATATATATATGGCTTTTTGTAAAATTATGTTTTGAATTGCAGATTTTAATATTTTCAAAGTAAAATGACCAAACAAGTTATTAACATCTGTGATATCGAGGAGAAGAGAAATTTTAGGAAATGTCTTATCTATGGCCAGCTGTTTGTTTTCAGAGAAATATCCCAAATGAGGACAATCTTCCAGTTGTTGGCAGCCCTGGAGTACAACCACAGCACTCTGAAGAGCCAGCAGCAGGTGGTGGACCTCATGGTGGACACGTGTACTGAGGTGGGTAGTCTGCTCCCTAGTTATTACAGCTGATTAGTACTAATTATTACAGCTGATTAGTACTAGTTATCACAGATTATTAGTGCTGGTTATTACAGCTAATAAGTACTAGTCATTACAGCAAATTCTTACTAGTGATTACAGTACTAGTTATTACAGCTTATTAGTACTAGTTACGATGATATTAAGGCCCAGTTAAGATGTAATTTGCTCTTGTATGTCTCATACAGTGGACCACTAGTAGTTGTAACTGATCAGGACTTGTACCACGGCTGGCACTTCAAACAACAGGATGAATCTATTGTACACTTAAATTGAGGTCATTAATTGGCAACAATAACAGTTGGATTTTTTCTTTAATGAATGTGAAATTGCTTAAAATATACCATGATAATTTTCCTTTTGCCAAACTGCATGTTGTTATACTGGTAGTAAGTGACAATTAAATGATGTGAAAGCATTAAACTTTATATGGTCGGTATTACCTTATAAGTACTAGTATTTAGAAGCAGGCATTTATTAACTGTTGGTAATCAAAATATGAAAAAAACAACACTTGTATTTATACTTTCTTTATTTACTGTAAAGAAATATATAGCAAGACAGTTAGCAAAACAAGATAGATGAACACATTAGTAAAAAATATAAAATTCAATACAATTTATAAAATGCTCTGTTTTCAGACAAATGATGACATGTGATGGCGGTGGGATTGGACGGAAATTTTCACAACAAAGGAATGCTGATGACATTTATGCAAAGTAACTTGAAAATATTAAGTTACATATAATTTACACAAACAATTTTACTGATGATCAGAGGTTGTTACATATAGCCTCATAAAATCCAATACTACGTACATAGTACACACATTTCCATTAATTTTACACAGTCACAAATTTAAAATAATCACTTCATCATATCTTTAATATATTATTTAAAATATACAATGTATATACTTCAAATAATATTTATACAAAAAAGTATGTGAATTCATTAACAGGTGGACAGCAAAATTTAAGCTTAACTGCACTTGAACTGTGATAAGCTGTGTCAATTAAATACATGTAAAATCACATTAAAAGATTTATTGAGCAACCCAATCATTTTTTCATACTGTCTCAATCGTTTCTTTATCATAATACTTTTGTCTTAAGGCAAAAGAAGAAAAAACAATATATTTTGGCATATGTTACAGAATGAAGGGTCAGAGGGTTTCTAATTTCATTGGGCATTGTCTGTATTGTATAAACCGTGTCAATTCCAAATGCTATATAAAGAACAGACTTATAATCAGACTCAACAGTTTTAGAGTTGTTTGGCATATCATTTGTTGAGAAAATAGACAGGTAAACCTAATCTCTTAAAATATCCGGTTGTCAAGTTCAGATCTGGCAAGTGGCTAAATAATCTACTCTTTATATAGGATAACTGGTATTGGTAACACTACTGATATTACCACCCTATCTTGTGAGCATGATAACAGGGACTGTTATCAGGACATGATAACAGGACAGTAAAGGCCTGAAGACTGGTCCATGTTTCTTGGTCCTCAGCGGCGTCTTGTTGGTGACTGTGTGCCTGGCTGCCCAGAGTCTCCCTTAGATTTCTTCTTGGTCTAAAACAATGGAGTACATAGTCAGTTTATTATTATTGATGTAAAAATATTTTTATAAAAACTGGAATTGATACAATATTTTAATAAAATTTATCGTCAAACTGTGTAATATATACAAACCTGTAGAAAATATAGTAACTGTTATGATTAAATGCTAACTTCATAGGTTGATGTTTAGCAAAATGTATACAAAATTTAATTTTTCACAAAAAAAGCTAATGTTCGACATTCTGAAAATTAATAAGAAAAAAAAAAAGAAATCACTTAAAGTGGGTACACACAAGAGATTTATCAATCATAAATTCTAATACACTGAATTAGTATTTAATTGGAAAATGATAACAAACTTTTTGTCAAATTCTGAGACAAAGTCAACAGTATTGTTGCTTTAAGTTTTGGAAATTTGGTTTTATTGCTCAAGAATTACACAAAATGAAGCTATAAGCAAATGCAGTATTAGCACCCTTAAGTAAGTATGAAGTGGCAGGAAGACTAGACAAAGTTAACAGGGAACTACGTGTACCTTTTCCTCTACCTGCTAACTCCTTGTACTAAATGATTTGGTCATCTACAAATAGCAGTTCTTAAACATAACATGAAGCTTCTTTAAAAGCTTTATAATATAAATATACCTCTAACATAGATAAGTGTTGTTTAGACCTGAGATTCCAAAGCCCGTCACAGCATTATACAATTTAAGCACAGTGATTTCTATTACATACGCTAACCAGCATTGTATGACAGTGCTAAAGCATACAAATGAAAATGTGCTACAAATATCACTATTTTAGCAAAGGGCNACTGTTGGTAATCAAAATATGAAAAAAACAACACTTGTATTTATACTTTCTTTATTTACTGTAAAGAAATATATAGCAAGACAGTTAGCAAAACAAGATAGATGAACACATTAGTAAAAAATATAAAATTCAATACAATTTATAAAATGCTCTGTTTTCAGACAAATGATGACATGTGATGGCGGTGGGATTGGACGGAAATTTTCACAACAAAGGAATGCTGATGACATTTATGCAAAGTAACTTGAAAATATTAAGTTACATATAATTTACACAAACAATTTTACTGATGATCAGAGGTTGTTACATATAGCCTCATAAAATCCAATACTACGTACATAGTACACACATTTCCATTAATTTTACACAGTCACAAATTTAAAATAATCACTTCATCATATCTTTAATATATTATTTAAAATATACAATGTATATACTTCAAATAATATTTATACAAAAAAGTATGTGAATTCATTAACAGGTGGACAGCAAAATTTAAGCTTAACTGCACTTGAACTGTGATAAGCTGTGTCAATTAAATACATGTAAAATCACATTAAAAGATTTATTGAGCAACCCAATCATTTTTTCATACTGTCTCAATCGTTTCTTTATCATAATACTTTTGTCTTAAGGCAAAAGAAGAAAAAACAATATATTTTGGCATATGTTACAGAATGAAGGGTCAGAGGGTTTCTAATTTCATTGGGCATTGTCTGTATTGTATAAACCGTGTCAATTCCAAATGCTATATAAAGAACAGACTTATAATCAGACTCAACAGTTTTAGAGTTGTTTGGCATATCATTTGTTGAGAAAATAGACAGGTAAACCTAATCTCTTAAAATATCCGGTTGTCAAGTTCAGATCTGGCAAGTGGCTAAATAATCTACTCTTTATATAGGATAACTGGTATTGGTAACACTACTGATATTACCACCCTATCTTGTCAGCATGATAACAGGGACTGTTATCAGGACATGATAACAGGACAGTAAAGGCCTGAAGACTGGTCCATGTTTCTTGGTCCTCAGCGGCGTCTTGTTGGTGACTGTGTGCCTGGCTGCCCAGAGTCTCCCTTAGATTTCTTCTTGGTCTAAAACAATGGAGTACATAGTCAGTTTATTATTATTGATGTAAAAATATTTTTATAAAAACTGGAATTGATACAATATTTTAATAAAATTTATCGTCAAACTGTGTAATATATACAAACCTGTAGAAAATATAGTAACTGTTATGATTAAATGCTAACTTCATAGGTTGATGTTTAGCAAAATGTATACAAAATTTAATTTTTCACAAAAAAAGCTAATGTTCGACATTCTGAAAATTAATAAGAAAAAAAAAAAGAAATCACTTAAAGTGGGTACACACAAGAGATTTATCAATCATAAATTCTAATACACTGAATTAGTATTTAATTGGAAAATGATAACAAACTTTTTGTCAAATTCTGAGACAAAGTCAACAGTATTGTTGCTTTAAGTTTTGGAAATTTGGTTTTATTGCTCAAGAATTACACAAAATGAAGCTATAAGCAAATGCAGTATTAGCACCCTTAAGTAAGTATGAAGTGGCAGGAAGACTAGACAAAGTTAACAGGGAACTACGTGTACCTTTTCCTCTACCTGCTAACTCCTTGTACTAAATGATTTGGTCATCTACAAATAGCAGTTCTTAAACATAACATGAAGCTTCTTTAAAAGCTTTATAATATAAATATACCTCTAACATAGATAAGTGTTGTTTAGACCTGAGATTCCAAAGCCCGTCACAGCATTATACAATTTAAGCATAGTGATTTCTATTACATACGCTAACCAGCATTGTATGACAGTGCTAAAGCATACAAATGAAAATGTGCTACAAATATCACTATTTTAGCAAAGGGCATTTGTGCAAATTTTCTGCACTTTTCTCACTTCTGAAACTGATTTCCTTGGTGTCACTAATTCAACTTTTGAGCGCCATTGTTTCATATTATTATTATTATTATTATTGGAACATGAGGAGCCTAGACAGCCTGTCTTAGTGAGAAAAAAAATTTGGACTCCCTATTTTATAAACCCTGGTTTAAATACCTGGAAGGGACAGAAGTCAAAGTGTTTTTTGGTGACCACTGACCACCCTTAGATTCAGAGTTTATGAGAGACTATTTTTGGTGACACTGTATACTTGATAACAGAATCACTGCCAGTGATATGATAATTAGGGTGTACCCAGGGTATGGCTGCATTCACAAGCAAGTTGATCCGCAGACCAACAGATCCCCAGATCAAATATGGCTGACCCACTTGAAAACCCCACAGGGAATCTATTCAGTGTCTATTAGGGGATTACGCAGCAAGCTTTCAAGTGGGTCGGTCCTATTTGATCCATGGACCTGTTAGTCTGAACGTGCCCTATGTGACCTACCTTGTGTGTCTGTGGGGCAGGCTGCTGTGATGTACTTGGTCCTGCATACAGGTATGATGGCATCTCCTCTTCTTTTTGACCTTTGGGAAAGCTAAGATCTGGACTCTTCACCTTCACATCTACCTTGCCCACCTGAGGATAGGGAGGTTAAAATTACAATCTTAACACTGATGTTAACATGAAATATGGAGTACTTGCATTTTATGACACCTTGATGGTTATGCAGTGTATGTATACTTACTGAGCTAGTCCCCATGCTCTAGAAGAAACTGCTTACATAAGATTTATAGAGATATTATCAAAATGGAATAAATTAATTTATTTCCACTGCATCTTAATGCATTTTTACATATGAAAAATGCAAAGAAACTGCATGTACAGTTAAGGATTGATCTCTTAATAACACTGGGTAAGAGATGAATCACATGATAAAGTGCCCCCCCCCCCCCCCCCCACACACACAAACCACCACCACCAGGTGAGTTGTCACTTACAAAATACACAGGCAGTGTGCTGTATACTGCTCCCTCCACCTCTTTATGTCCAGTGTCCACAGTGGTCAAATGATCATTGTAGGCCTAGAATGACAGGTATTTATGAAAATTACACATATGAACTATTACACAGTAAACAGTAAAACTACTCATATTCAACCTTGTTTTCAATTGCTGAAATACAAATTTATTGATATGATTAAGTCATAGGTGCTCATATAACATTTGTAATATCTGAGAGTATTGGTCCAATTATAAACACTTACTTTTGGTTTAATTAGTGCATCAAAGAATTTCTTGTCTTCTGGTTCCTGTCTCTTTGACTTCTTAGACACAAAGGCAGATCTACTGAAGGGCTTCCATCTGGAAAATAACAAAATGAAACTTGTTTGAGAATTTATGAGATGTTACATGCCATTGTATACTTGGAATACATTATCAAATGTCTGGAGACTGGAAGGGATGTAGATGGAATGCTTTTAACCACAATGAAACATTTACAGTTCATTATATAACTTTTATATTTATTTACAAGCAACTGAAAAGTATAGAAAAGATCTGAAAAATATGGACAATATATACAAAATGACTGTTACTCCACACTCAATATGTAAACCAACATACCTCATGTTATCAAAAACCAGTGGATATTCAAACTTCTGCACTTGTCGGATCTTCTGCTTGGCACTTTTGTTTTTATTGGGGGCCATGGGTCTCTGAGAATAAAATGATCAGGTATTATAACTTATCAAGGTTGCACTACAGTATTTGATATCTGTGGCAGGTAACTTCAAACTACTCTGTCTCACTTATTAACTTTTAAATTTGCAATTAAAAAAGTAATTGCATAACTATTTGGTGAATAATAAAAAATCATGGCATGTAGTAAAAACTCCAGTGCCACCCTTACCTCAGTGATATCATAAGGCAGGACCAGAGTGCCTGCCACCCTTACCTCAGTGATATCATAAGGCAGGACCAGAGTGCCTGCCACCCTTACCTCAGTGATATCATAAGGCAGGACCAGAGTGCCTGCCATCTCCTCTGAAGTGGGGAAATTAAATGGCCTATGTTGACTGAAGAAGCCCACAAATCTTCCTCTAAATCCCCACCAGACCCTGACAGAGCCGTCAGTGGAGCCAGAGATGATTGCCTTCAAGGAGTCCACATACTCCAGGCTCACTATCTTTGTGGTGTGGGCACGCCAACACAAGATCTGCTTGACTGTGTCCTAGGAGTAATTTAAATTGAAAACTTTAAAAATACACTGTTATATAGTAACAAGGGAGTACAGTGGCATATAATATTTCACAGATTTTCTCTTTGCTAGAAGTATTGTTACAAGGTATGATACTGCAGCATATTTTTTCAAATTCAATATATGCTGTGGTTTAATGACGTTATGATACATTAACAGATAGATATGGATAAAGGTGAAAATACTCACTGCATCTTCAGAGACGGGAGCCTCAAGAAATTTGGCAATATCCCACATGGTAAGATAACCCTCTGGAATGGTGAGTTAGAAACATTTGATAGATATGGCATAGCTATATGAATAAATCTCTTGATCTCCATTTCAACTAGAGCCATCTTGGTATATTGAGACATAAACTAACATTAAAAATAATTTGGATCTGGATAAGGTTTGGAGGTCAAGATCCACTGAGATTGAAAACATCGCTACTCTCCATGCTTCAACAACCAAGTACAGAATGTTTATGTTACATAAAAATTTAACATGATAATAGGAGAGGTATGTAAAGTATAAGTAAAGGTGGAAATAGTGAGAAACATGTGGCATGTTGTCCATTTTTGCATGTAAGCATTCCTCTAGTATCTTCAATGTTTTTGGCTATAAATAACATTCACAGCCCTTCATTCAATTTATCATTCACTGAACTTGCGTTTAAAAATGATTTGTCACAAAGACACAGGTAATTAACAAAGGTTAATTTGAAAGTGTAAATCAAAAGACAGACAACACCAATGTGAAGAGCCCCTGTCCACTTACTGTTGTCTCCAGTAATGAGGAAATTACAGTCCTGGTCATGACATAGGGCTGTCACTGGGGAACCCTGACGTCTGGTCATGGCTGTGATCTCACGCAATACATCTCCCTGAAAGTTCAAGTGTTGTTAGAATTTTTTACTAAATCAAAATTGCATCACTGCTATTGATTTTTACTAATGTGAGCAACTTTTAGTTTATTGTTCTTTTTCCTTTAATTCAAGTTCAAATTAATGGTGAGAAACAAAGTAAATGATGTCAGACAAAAAATGTTGCAATAAGCTTTCATTGAATTCTTTGCCAGATAATAAGTAGCATCATTCATTACAAAACAGTGCATCAAAATATTACCTCCATTGTCCAAAACCTAATAAAGGCATCGTGATGGCAAGTGACTAAAATGGGGTCAAAAGTTTCAACTATCATGTGTTTTTCAGGATCATCTTTCTGATCTTCAGACTCTTCTCCTTCAATATGGACATGATGTTCTTTGTCAGTTTCTTCATCATTCTGTTCATTTTGCTCATGTGTGTCGGTGGGGTCTTCATCTAGGAAAAGGAAAAAAAACATGTTATTCATATTTAAATTTGTGTTGTATATAACGATTCAGATTCTAGATAATCATAGCAGATGTTTTTTTTTTTTTTTTTTTTTTTACCACAAGGTCTCTTCAAAGCTGCCTTGATCTGACAAATATGTACATGTAGTACCATCTAGATAATAACATTCTCAAGTGCTCTATTTTTGATCGAGTTTTAACTCAATTAAAATTGTTGACTAGCCCTTGTTTTTGCTCAAAGCTATGCAATGAAAAGGAATTGGACAACTTTAACATTAAAAATAAAAATTATATGGTTACAGAAGCCACATCTATTCATAACAAACTGCTTCACGTTTAACATCTCACCTGTAGGACCTTCCTCAGGCTTGTCAGGAAGCTCTTCTTTCTTTTCATCCTATTTGTATTTAAATAACATTAGAAAAATCAACACGTTTTGACTTGTTTTTTGAAATTGAATTCTTGTGGAAGACAAACAGAGCTTCCTTATATACCATACTCCTCACGTTTACTATTACTGCTACTTCTACCAAAAACAATATTTATGACATATTATTTAAATCATAATAATGATTAATTGTCATGGTTGCAACTTGAATTGTGAATTTATTATAGTAATGCTGCCTGATTTTTGCAGACAAAATGATAATAATAAAAGGAATTCTCACTTTTTCATCATGTGTTTCACTTTTCTCTCCTTCTTCGTCATTTCCCTCTCCATCTTCCTTACTCTCTTCATCTTCTGTTGTTTTATCATCATCATGGTGGGATAACTTAGACCTTCAATGTTTAAAAAATGCATTTTATGGTCATTATATATACAACAATTTTGCTTTTTATATATCTTAAGCTATCTGAAAGAATACAACAATTAATATCATAAGCAGGACAGTAAAAAGAAAACGAATACCAGGAATAGACTTGGACTTACTTAATATAAGCTGGGTCTAATTTTCTGACTCGGTGGATTAGTATCTTTATTGCATGTATCCTGTGTTCCGTGGGTTGCTTTACTCTGTGTTTATTGGGGTCTGCACTGGTGGGAAGGATTTCTGGCAGCTGAAAACTGGAATCAAAGACAGAAAAAACATTATCATTTATTTACTATACTACTATAAGAAAAGTAATTGTAAAGAAAGCAGATCATCAAAATTTTCAGCTCAACTTATTTTTCAAGATATTCATAAACTCTGCATAAAAGTTGACTGTGCAATGTAATTTTTGATGTTAAAAACTGTGTTTCTCCATCTAAGATAAATCATGGAAAATTTGAAGATATGTTAAAAAATCTATAAATAACAATGTAAGCTATTTTTAGCTATCAACAAAACTTATTTCCAAACAATTATTTAGACAGTTGAATATTTAAAAACCTAAAAGCTGTTGTGATGTGAAACACTGTACAGATGATAGCTTAAATACTTTAAACAACTTTTGATGTCAGCTCAGTGCAAAGAGCCAAGAAATGTTTCAATGTTTCAATATTATTTCATGCTCAAGAACACTATCATAATTCAGATATGGTACCTTGGGTTCCTGTGAACATGTCCAATTATACATACAGATGTCAGTCATGTTCTACTTACACACAGTCCACAGTACAACTGTTCACATTCCACAGTACCACATTGCCATTGACACAGCCAGTGAACAGCCCCGCCCCCTCCAGACCTGACAGACACGTCACATCATGGCTCTTCAGAATGTGCTCCTGGAAATGATCACAAAATGATTCATTTCATCAATGTATCCCTTCAAAAGAATTCAGATATTTTCAATAGATATGGCATTGTTAGTTTTGCATATAAAGGTAAGAATCGAATGTTCCCATAATCTGAAAAAAAAAAAAATCAAATACCCCATGTCCTATGTACATGAAATGCTCTCTTGCATATGCATGGTTTAAAAAAAAACAATATTGAGGTTGAATATGTGCTGTTAACAATTTACTAAATAATTGAAGAAAGGTGTTTAGTTATACATTATAAGAAAAAAAATGTAAGAAATGCCCACCAAAAATGATTATAAATGTTTTTTTCTTTGACATACACAAACACTGCAGCAAAAATTGAGATTCAAAAATAGATTCTTCAGACATAAAATATAAATCCAAGTGAATTAAAAAGTCAAAAATGCATTGCAGAAATTAAAATTTCAAGTAAACAGTGATAATATAACACAAAATCATAACTGAACCAGTGATAGTGTAACTCCACCCAAATACATGCATGTACTACCTTCCGTTGTTTTTTCCTTCTTTTGTGCTGTAACAATTCACAGAAAGCAAATAAATCACTATTCTTTAAAACCACTAAATTAGACTAAAGTGCATGTAGCCTGACATTAATGTTCCACCTGCTTGATTAAAGCTTCCATGTTTCTAATTGTACTACTCATAATGAAAGATAAAGACATGGGGTGAAATGAACATGAAAGTGGATTTTTATAGCACCGACTTATTTTGTATACCTTTTTGGGCACATGTTCTGTTTCTCCACTTTCTTCATTTCCAATACTTGGCAAAGGTTTGGTTTTGGAGAAAGGGTCCTCTTCCAGATCTTCTGGCCAAATAAAGTGGTCTGAGAACTCGTGGAGAACTGGGAGATCATGACCTTCATTTCCATCCTAAGAAATCAAGTAGGAAGATTTAACCACATTATCAATGTTTCTTTTTTCATTGTTAAATAGTAAAAAAATATCTTCTGTTTTTTAATACTGTGTCACTTCAGACAACAAGCAGGAAATGCAAACAATTACTTTTTTTTTACTATAACATTCAAAACAAAAACTTTAAACTGAAGGATAAGAAGAAAAAAGAGCAAAAATTTGAAAAAAAATAAAAAATAAACATATAAGAAATGTCAACCAAAAGTTGCCTGTACCTGTAGGACGAGTATCTTGTTATTCCAGCCAGTGGCAATGATATGTCTGTCCTCTTTGGTACTCCAGTACAGCAGACCAGTGATACTGAAGTCCTCATCAGTGCCATGACCAGGACGGGTCTTAATCTCCTGGCCTGAACCAAAGTCCCACACCTTCACAGAGCCTGAAAGTGGACAAACCTGGCTTTAAGTCTATAGAACTACATGTAGTACATGTATTACAAGGTAATAGGCATCTGGGGATAGAAACATTAACAAAATGACAAAGAACATATTTTTTTGCTTTCTGGAGCCTTCTATGGGCGGCCAAAAGGGCAAAAAATCTTGTCGTCGATTCAGTTATGTTTCGTCGATTCACTGCCTTCCCATCGATTCAGTTTCAAGTTTAAACGATCCTGTCATAAATTCAACATCTACTTTCGTCAATTCAACTGTCAAACATTTCTCATCTACGGTGTATTAAAACCAATGCTGTCACTATTTTTGTCGATTGTGTAACTATTCTCGTCGATCGTCNCTTGGCAAAGGTTTGGTTTTGGAGAAAGGGTCCTCTTCCAGATCTTCTGGCCAAATAAAGTGATCTGAGAACTCGTGGAGAACAGGGAGATCATGACCTTCATTTCCATCCTAAGAAATCAAGTAGGAAGATTTAACCACATTATCAATGTTTCTTTTTTCATTGTTAAATACTAGAAAAATATCTTCTGTTTTTTAATACTGTGTCACTTCAGACAACAAGCAGGAAATGCAAACAATTACTTTTTTTACTATAACATTCAAAACAAAAACTTTAAACTGAAGGATAAGAAGAAAAAAGAGCAAAAAATTGAAAAAAAAAATAATAATAATAAATAAATAAACATATAAAAAATGTCAACCAAAAGTTAATTCTGCCTGTACCTGTAGGATGAGTATCTTGTTGTTCCAGCCAGTGGCAATGATATGTCTGTCCTCTTTGGTACTCCAATACAGCAAGCCAGTGATACTGAAGTCCTCATCAGTGCCATGACCAGGACGGGTCTTGATCTCCTGGCCTGAACCAAAGTCCCACACCTTCACTGAGCCTGATAATGGACAAACCTGGCTATAGGTCTATAGAACTACATGTAGTACATGTATTACAAGGTAATAGGCATCTGGGGATAGAAACATTAACAAAATGACAAAGAACACATTTTTTTGCTTTCCGGAACCATCCACCAGCAACATAATCTCTTCAATAAATAATAATAATAAAGGAAAAGTTGACTAGTATTTCAATAATTTTCTCTAATGACCTCTTTCACTATTTTCATAATTGCTTCAATACAGAAATACAAACATACATTTGATAATACAGAGAAAAAAACATTTTTTTCAAAAACTCGTTCTTTATGTTTCCCTGCTAATTTAGTATTTTTCTTACAAAAAAAAAAAAAAAAAAAAAAAATTTGTCCTCACCGTCTAGTGCCCCTGTGGCCAGCCTGTAGCCAGACTTGTCCAGGGCTATGGCTGTCACCTCCATGTTAGAACCATGGGCATCAGCAATCTGGTACACCTGTTTACCTGTCTCCATCTCCCATACCTGAGGGAGGACAAACAAATGGTCAGGGGGACTGTATGAGATCCCATTAGTTATCTTTGCTCCATGTATCTTGATTTATCAATTTGTAATTAAGCACAAAGTGATTCAAAATCTTAATGCAGATTTTAACTTTTTTTTTACATTTCAGCTTCAGTCAACTAATATGAATGAGTATTCATGTGAAAAGTAGTTGTATTATTCATTTACTTAACCATGTTACATACATCACCGATGAAGAAAGCTAAACACAGTTATTCTGACCTTGATGATAGATTCCGTGCACACAGTTATCATCTGGTTCAGTTCTCTGTTGTATAAGATCTGGAAATAATACACAAAACAGTAAACAAACAAATAACTATATGTTCCATAAAGATCCAATGCCCAGCTTTCCTTCAGCCAGTTTTCTACCTCATGTTAACTTCTTGTATTAATCTAGATTGAAAAAAATAACATTAATGGTGTTTGTCTTAAATAACATAACCTTTTTGATTGCATTATTAGTTTGTTAGTTTAAATTGCTGCCGTTGGCCTCAATAAAACTGGGATGGAGGAGATGAGAATGGCAATTTTGTTTGGCATTAACTGGTCAAATGTCAATCAATCTATAGATTGTATCTAATTTGTTCTGTTACTATACAAGATGGAAGAAGTATATATATATTAAAAAAAACTGACCTGGCTGATGGGTCTGTCATGTGTGTGTGGCACCTGCATGGTATCCTGTACTGCTCTCGTCAGGGGCCAAGCGTCTAGCACACTGGAACCTGGACATTATACACAACTCACAGTTATGTACTCCACAACCATATGTTCTGTGAGACAGACTACACACGCATGCGTGCGCACACACAGTAGATACATGCGCACACAACAGCTTAAAATTGGTGTACTAATAATTGTAATAGTCTGTGCTACTATACACCTTAAGTGAAATATATGATAATACCTAGTTTTCTACCAAATATGACTGAAAAATACACACACTAAAGTAACTATGGCATGGAAATCTATATATAAAGACATTCTGAATTCACTAGTCAGATGTAAAAACCAAGCTCTATGCTAGATTTCTTTTTCCTCAAGTCTTACTAGATTATCCTTACAATTTTATAAACAAAATATGTGCTCAGTAAAAATAGCCATGTCAACATATCTTACCTGTGACTAGTCTATCAAATTTATTATCAAACAGCATGCTGTAGATCCTCTTCTCTCCCGGCCTCTCCTCGTTATCTGTGAACACTTGGAGACTGGTCAGGGTGTGGATGTCCCAGACACGGATGACCCTAGCTGTGGACAGACTGATGATATGCTGGTCCTTCTCATTACATACTATATCTACTATGGTGAACAGGTGCCCTATCAGCTTGCCTGGAGAACACGTGAGATAAGAGTCATTTCTCATGCGTAATAACAGAAGGATTGTATTTTTGGAATCGTACGTCATAGATATAATAAAAAACTGAATAGAGCCCCTGTAGCTACAGGTTGGCCACAGGGGCTGGATGATGAGGGTGGTAATTTGAAAAAAATGCTAAGATAACAAGAAAATAAATCTATTTTCATATGGTGTTTTTTCAAATAAACATCATAATAATAATATGAAAGCACAATTCACTTGAAAAAAACACAATTTGATAGTTTCTCCTCAATGCTTATTAAAAAAAAAAACAAACAAAAACAAAAACAAAAATTAACACACGACAATAAGACACATTAGTCAACATCCAGGTAAATCTGATATTATTCTGATGCTAGTATATGGACCTTAAACTTATCATTAAAATAAAACAAATGGAGAAAGCATACATGAGAATCATATTAAGATTTATGTCTTGATAAAACTTTGGTGTATGTTGTCCTCACCTGTGGGTCTAGAGAAGATATGGGGGTGCCAGACCCTGATAATCTTATCCACTCCCCCTGTGGCAATGATGTTAGCTCTGGCACAGTAATCAAACGCATTGACACCTTTGGGAATAGAAACTCCTCGCAGTGGACTGGAAAGTAATGTATGAAAAAACATGATAAAAATCTTTATCTGGTTCTGCTATTGGTCATAATACTCTGAAGTAAAGGCAGATTTTTAAAAATTCATTAATTTTTTAGAAAATGTATTCATACAAGCTATGTAAGTGTATAATTATTAAATAAACTGCTGTAATTATGTAAAATTACTACAGAACTTTTCTCATGCCAATTACCATGTGTTTTACAGAAATCCTATCACAGATAAAAAAACAATAGTACACGGCAGATCAGTTTATCAAATCTCCTCATTAACTTACAGATTATCAAATATCCTCTCCACCTCCTCCAGGACAAAGGATGATATACTGCTCGGAGAACAGGAGCCAAAACAACGCAACTCTGGGAAATATTTCACCTGGGAAATACAAAATTCAAACTTCAAATTGGACTAATATTTCTTCTAAAATATTTCATTATTTATAAGAAATTTTAAGAAATTATAATTGCATATTGTTTAAAATGATGAAGAAATTGTTAAACGCCAAAACTGTAACATACTCAGTTTAAAGAATACAGTCTATTGTTAAGTCCGTTTCCCTTACCTTGACCACCCAATCGTCATGAAGACGTCTGCGGCGAATAGGACTGGAAGACAAGTGACAAGATCATTAAACAAGCGAACTATCAATTCAACCCAATACCTTTGAATGGTCTAACTTTCTAACAATGAAACTTTTCTCTGGTTTCTTCCACAATGAACGGAAGCAATGAGGGACACAATACTACAACCAGTGATTAGTATACAGAATGTACATGCTGTAGTTATACACTTCTGCAAATATTGGTAAGAAATGGATAATTCCATGCTCAAAAACAGTTATCAGATATCCCTTTACATGTAGACAACAACACACTTACTTGATCAATTTCTTGGGATCCAAAACCATGTTTTGAGATCCAGCCTTCTTTTCTCCCCCACCACCCTTATTATTGGAGTTCTTGAGCTGAAGATCCTGGGAGGACAGTGTCAGGGCGTTCATGTACCCCTGGTCATCCCCAAACAGCACCATTTCTTCATGAGACACGCTGGTGAAGGGAACGTAGGTCATACACTGGGGGGAATCCTCCAGGGGTTTGATCACATAGATTATCTGAAATTTTGTTGATTATTCTATAGTTTGTAACTGCTTAATAAGGTGCTATATGAGAAAAGAAAAAAAATTAAGAAAAAAAAAGAGTGACACCATTACAAACTGAGAAGCATATTGGAAACAAAGGTTTAAAACATTCATGAATTATTTTTTGACAAAAAAGTTAATACAAAAATTTGTTATACATTAAAAAAACAAAAGCCTTTTTTAGCATAGGGCAATGTTCTGCTTGTGTACACATAAATAAAATATGTAGTTCTATATAATATAACAATATGTTGTCATTACAAATGAATATCCCACTGACAAGTTATTTAAACAGAGTGTGTGTTCCTCACCTGTGTCTTCCCCTTGGCTCTGTTGTCCCAGATGGCAATACTTCTCTCTGTAGTTGCCACCACGCGGCGTAACCCAGGTAGATAGTCACAGCCAGTGATCCAGGCTGACTCCTGGGGATATAAAATATTGAAACATTTTATCTTTTAGAGTCTATTTTTCTTTAATTTTTTTCTTACTTTCAGTTCTTATTATTTGTTTTTTTTTTCACTAAACTGTTGCTATTGGAATTATGAGACATCTGGTAAAATGGTTACCGAATATTTTACTTCACTTTGAAAAATTTAAATATTGATCACTCACATCAATATCAGCACAGGCCTGCAATCTCAGCTGAAATAAAGAACAGACAAGACTTGAAAATTATTCCATCCCTAACAATAGGAAGTCAATTGTGCAATTTGGCAGGATGGTGAAATGTTTTGTTTTTACATTCAGTTATGAGTTAGAGGTGAGTCAAGAGTAGGAAAATGGTACCAAAGAATTTTAAAATTTACAAAAGAAATAATAAAGAGTTCTGTGATATCTTGCTGTGTACTGACCTTCATATTCCACAGGGACACTGCTCCTTTCTGAGAGGCAGCCAGATAGCAGTCCAAAGACTGAATGTACTTCACACACTGTATGGTGTCACGTCGCTTTCTGTCTCCTACAATAAATAAATTAACCAAAAAGAAACTTAAAAGATACATTTTTACTTTGTTCATCGATTGGAATAATGTGGTGAGAGGGAGTCACCTGAAATGTTATCAGAAAGGTACTGCACAAAAATGTTTTGATTATGAGCATCACAGGAACCCATAAAAAAAAAAAAAAAAAAAAAAACACTGAAAAATGCTGAAAAATGGTTCAATTCTAAGCTGTGAGCAAGCAGCTTGCACTTCTCTAGTATCATAGTGTGACACTGCTACTGAACTATCAACAGAGGAATTTCTGAATTGTTACCCTGGTAGTGGTGAAATAAATCCTTACTCTCTCACATTCATTTCCTTTTCATTACATATCTCAATTATAGTTCGGTGATAAACTAAATGCCTTATCAAAAAGTATAAATTAAAACAAAAGTACAGTCACAGAAGTGCACTGATATTCAAGCTTAACAATAGTAAATTCAAATGTGTTTTGATCTTAATCTTTGCCTCAGCAGTATAGTTCTTAGCCATTTCATGAAAAATACACTAAATGACTTATTGATTTGTACACTGAAATGGTTCACTTCCAAGGTTAAATATGCCAGTGTCCATAGATTGATTTGACTTGACCTTTTTGATATCAGGAAGGTTCAAACTCTAGCTTTCTATTAGTACACCAAAACTTCTTTACTTAAGAAAGGTTATTTGTAACCAGGAACATAAGATTAGAATTAATATTTGATGTATCAAATCATCAATGAACTCAAATGTAGGTACCTATGACATATCACTTTACTTCAGTCTTTAACATGGTAAAACATGGATTTTGTTCCTATTATCTCAGTCCATTTAATACATACAAAACAAAACTCTTAAATCAATAGACTCCAAAGAATTTGTGTTTTCATCTATTGACCCAAGTCATTTATCTTTAGTAAATGTCAACAGAGTTCAATAGCCACATAGATCACAGTCAGATCTCTGTGTGACTGGAGAGACCAGTGTCCATTGCCATGTTTATTTGATGTCTACTTTTAAAGGATATACATAACACTTATGTCTGTTGATATGAGGGTTAACCTCAACCAATGATAGGAAACCACACAGAAGTTAAAACTACCAGTACTGACTGCAGCAACCCGTTCATTTTAATACAAAGGGGAAAACCACTGGCATGAAACAAATTTTGATAACTGTCCAGTATCAATTTCAGCTTATCTTTTAAAGCAAAAATATTTAATTCAAAAGTGTTTTCCGGCCCATTTCTGGAATTTCAGTGGTCCCTTTTACCATCATGACATTATAAACCTTTGTGTTTGATCTTGAATTTCAATGACTTTTTAACAACTTCTGCAGTTTAAGTGTTTTTAAAGGGTTATATCTAAATCATATAAAACTCATTTTACTTTGACATATATAATTACCTTTTATCCTTTTAACAATATCACATGTATACAAATCAAATACTATGACAATCAAAAACATTTTTCAAAAACAAGTATCATATATACAATGTAAATGTCTGGTGGAAAAAAAGTGTTGAAAGTTCTACATATAATTTTTTCCACTATGTGCATCAGCACTTTGGAGAACTGGCATTTTAAAAGTTATAAATGGGTTATTACTTACAGAAAAAAATGAAAGAAAGAAAGAAAAAAATATAATTTTCTAATTTCATGGCTGTCAACAGTTGGTGGTGCATGAAATGTTAAAGGTAAGCCAGGTTCACACCTGCAGTAACATGATACTAACAGGTGATTACCAAGGTGTGTGGCAGGTACAAGATTCTACTAGTTGTGGTAAATATATCTAGGCAATAGCTGACAATCAGTGCAGGATTATGGAGACAAACATCGATTTCGATTTTATTTTAAATTATTAATTCTACCTGCAGCTTCCCCGACCCTCCGTTTCTTAGAGACGGTGAATATGTTGGCATCCTCTCCTATAGGTGTCTCTTGTTCCTCGTTCTCAGATTGAAAGTATCCAAACAACTGCAAACAAAAGCATCATTAGTTGTAATTTACAAACATGATCAGTGTTCTAAATACAGGACTTGTTCTCATGATGACTCTAAAACTATTCAAAAATGCCTTCCTTGCTGGTATTTTTAATGTTTTGCATTTACCATTTTTATTTTTTTTTAACCAACCTTCAACTCATGTCACTATTGACTAGCAAAATTCTTCTCGTGTCTACCCTGGTTTGCACAGCTTGTCAATGGTATTTGGAAGTTTGTTAACTGTACATTGATGATGTGCAGCACTAAATCTGATATCATTTGATAATAATATCAATTTTACGTACATCACTCTTGCTGCCGTTTACGTACAACCAGTAGCAGTATAAAAGATTAGCCAATTTAGTGTTTCTAGAATCAAGAATTTTAAGTACCGTATAACTAAAATATCAGTCTCTATACTACATATACTGAGAGTTCTCACCTCACTCCAGTCCACCTTGGCATCTGGGTTGGTAGATATCTTCCTGTATAATGCTTTCAAGTCCTGATTCTTTATGTCATTTCCAAAGAGAGATCTGATGGATTCACAGAACTGGTCATATCGCAGATTTTCTAAACGAGGAAAGTAATGATATTAATTTTGCAAGTCTGATCATCAGACTTTGGGAATAAAATGTTATGTTTCCCACCTTTAATTTTATTAATGTGCATTTCTTCTTGTCACATGTTTATCAGTCATTTTCTGTACAGAAGTATTTTTCACATTTGGTTCTTATTTTAAAGGAATTCTTTTAAAGTAAGGAAGGTTAAAACTAGATCAAAATAAACCTTTGCAAATAATGAGCTTTCCTGTAAATTTAGCACTGAAATATAAATTGTTTATCAAACTCAAAATTACCAACAACAATATCTGTGACGGAGCAACGTTACCTGTTATCAGCTGTCTTCTTTCTTCGGGGGTTGCCTCCACATCTTGTAGCGTAAGGCTTTTAATTAGTACTTGGAAGTCCTGAAGTTTCTTCTGGAAGCTACCTAGTGTGTAGGGCCGTTGTAGAGGTCCTCCACCGGATCCCACAGCGGACATGGTCCTCCTTTCTCAACCAGACCAACAGAACACAACAGAATCAAGGCTTCATTTTCACGTAGAGTGATTTATTTTCAGAAAGCTAAACTTTAAACTTGGATTTTTGAGTGCTGCGCTGTCAATAATGCGGAAGATAACGCTTACCCTGCATCTGCCATGTTTCAGCTTTGATTTGCAGGTATCGACATTAAAATCTTAAGCTCTGTCCGTCTAGGGTTACATGTTAAAAGAACGACTGGTAAGTCTTAAAATTTCGCCTTGACTGCATGGTTCCGCACATGCGCACTTGGTACAATGTTGTAAACACACCGGCTGCCAACCATGGAGATCAATCGCATTGCGGTAGGTGTGACAAACACTGAAGTGAATAATCTAATCATCATGACAGAGATTGCGGCATACAGACCAAGAAGTTACGAAGACTCGGGTCTTAAGCACGTCTATAGAAGACATAAAAACTTGATTAAATACCGACTTTTCAAAACGTTTAAAGTGTTTAGGCCCCCTAATTAGATATGCTATCTTTCTAATCGAGAGACAGGTCCAAAAGGCGATCTAGGCCTACAGTTTTTTTTATTTGCCACAATTTTTAGGCCAATTTATTATTTTTTTACAAACGGGTTCCAAAACAGAACCTGTCAAAGTCAGGAAGTCAAGTAGGTACAAAAAATTAACAGCGTCATAGAACATAATAATACAGTCAAGTAGGGTGAAAGAACTATCCTGCAGCGATTGGTCCTAGACTTTNAGCCTTCCACCTGCAACATAATCTCTTCAATAAATTATAATAAAGGAGAAATTCTTTAGTATTTCAATAATTTTCTCTAATGACCTCTTTCGCTATTTTCATAGTTGCTTCAATGTAGAAATACAAACCTACATTCGAAGATACATTGAAAAAAAAACAAACTACATTTTTATTCAGAAATCAGTTCTTTATGTTTCCCTGCTAATTTATTATTTTTCTAAAAAAAAAAAAAAACCTGTCCTCACCGTCCAGTGCCCCAGTGGCCAGCCTGTAGCCAGACTTGTCCAGGGCTATGGCTGTCACCTCCATGTTAGAACCATGGGCATCAGCAATCTGGTACACCTGTTTACCTGTCTCCATCTCCCATACCTGAAGGAGGACAAACAAATGGTCAGGGGGACTGTACCAGATCCCATTAGTTATCCTTGCTCCATGTATCTTGATTTATCAATTTATAATTAAGCAAGGCCAAAATGATTCAAAATCTTAATGCAGTTTTCAACAATTTTTTGACACTCATATGAAAAAGTATTCATGTGGAATTTTGTTACATTATTCATTTACTTTACCATGTTACATACATATCACCCATAAAGAAAGCTAAACACAGTTATTCTGACCTTGATAATAGATTCTGTGCACACAGTTATCATCTGGTTCAGTTCTCTGTTGTATAAAATCTGGAAACAACATACAAAACAGTAAACAAACAAATAACCATATAATTCATAAAAATCCATCACCCAGTTTTCTTCAACTAGTTTTCAAAACCTTATTAGCTATTTATAGTAATAAAGGCTTCGTTCACATGGAATGTCTATTTTCTAAAAATATATTTTCTATTTTTGGTATCTTATGATCACGGTCTGTGCCCTGAATATCCCGCCGCGTAATTACTGGCAGCGCGAGCCAGTTACTTAAAGCAACTTATAGTAACTGGCTCGCGCTGCCAGTAATTACGCCGCGGGATATTCAGGGCACAGACCGTGATCATAAGACATACCGCGAATAGAAAATAGAATTTAGAAAATAGACATTGCATGTGAATGAAGCCAAAGATTGAATGAAATGGTAATGGTATGCGTCTTGCCAAGAAATTACACAACCATTCTGACTGCACTGGTAGTTAATTTGAAATTGTAGGTGGTTAGTTGTTTACCTCTTTACGGGGGCTTGAATTACTTGGAATGAAAGAGATGTGATTAATTGGCCAAATATCAATCAACCAATCCATATATTTTATTTATCATTAATTGGTTCTGATACTTAATGGAAGAGATATAACAATACCACCCAACTGACCTGGCTGATGGGTCTGTCATGTGTATGTGGCACCTGCATGGTGTCCTGTACAGCTCTGGTCAGTGGCCATGCATCTAGCACACTGGAACCTAGGAATAATATAATATCAAAAACTCAGAACTACATGTTTAATGTACAGCTCTAGTCAGTGGCCATGCATCTAGTGCACTGGAACCTGGAAATAATACACAACTCACAGTTATGTACTCCATATGTTCTATGAGACAAACTACACATGCATGCATGCACACACACAGTAGATACATGTGCACACAACAGTACTTATAATTGTAACGGTCTGTGCTACTATACACCTTAAGTGAAATATATGATAATACCTGGTTTTCTTCCCAACATGACTGAAAAATACACACACTAAAGTAACTTTAGCATGGAAGTCTGTATTTAAAGACATTCTGAATTCATTGGTCAAATGTAAGGAAAAATAACAAAACCATGCTCTATGCTAGATTTCTTTTTCCTCAAGTCTAACAAGATTATCCTTATGATTTTATAAACAAAATGTGTACTCAGTAAAAATACCCATGTCAATGCATCTTACCTGTGACTAGCCTATCAAATTTATTATCAAACAGCATGCTGTAGATCCTCTTCTCTCCCGGCCTCTCCTCATTATCTGTGAACACCTGAAGACTGGTCAGGGTGTGGATGTCCCAGACACGGATGACCCTAGCTGTGGACAGACTGATGATGTGCTGGTCCTTCTCATTACATACTATATCTACTATGGTGAACAGGTGCCCTATCAGCTTGCCTGGAGAACACGTGGAGATATACTGACATGAGAGTTATTTCTTGTGTAATAACAGAAGGATTGTGTTTTTGGAATTACACTACATGGATATAATAAAAAACTGAATAGAGCCCCTGTAGCTACAGGTTGGCCACAGGGGATCCAGATGGTGAGGGTGGTTATTCGAGAAAAATGCTAAATTAACATGGAAATAAATCAATTTTTACATGGTGCCTTTTTAAATAAACATCATAATAATATGTAAGCACAATTTTATTCGGAAAAAAAAAAACAAACAAACAAACAAAATTTGAAAATTTCTCCTTAATGCTTATTAAAAAAATTAACATACAACCACTGGTCAGCATCCAGGTAAATCTGATTTCATTCTGATGCTAGTTTATGGACCTTAAACTTATTATTTAAATAAAACAAATGGAGAAAGTATACATGAGAATCATATTAAGAGTTAAGTCTTGACGAAACCGTGGTGTATGTTGTCCTCACCTGTGGGTCTAGAGAAGATATGGGGGTGCCAGACCCTGATAATCTTATCCACTCCCCCTGTGGCAATGATGTTAGCTCTGGCACAGTAGTCAAAGGCATTGACACCTTTGGGAATTGAAACTCCTCGCAATGGACTGGAAAGTAATGTATGTAAAAACATGATAAAAATCTTTATCTGGTTCTGCTTTTGGTCATAATACTCTGAAGTAAAGGCAGATTTTTAAAAATTCATTAATTTTTTAAAAAATGTATTCAGACATGCTATGTAAGTGCAAAATTATTAAATAAACTGCTGTAATTATGTTGAATTACTACAGAACTTTTCTCATGTCAATTACCATGTGTTTTACAGAAATCCTATCACAGATAAAAAACAATAGTACACTGCTGATCAGTTTATCAAATCTCCTCATTAACTTACAGATTATCAAATATCCTCTCCACCTCCTCCAGGACAAAGGAGGATATACTGCTGGGAGAACAGGAGCCAAAACAGCGCAACTCTGGGAAATATTTCACCTGGGAATGATAAATGTCAAGCGTCAGATTTGAATCATATTTCTTCTAAAATATTTTATTATCTATGAGAAATTTTAAGAAATTATAACTGCTACTTGGTTAAAGTAATGAAGAAAATGTCAAAACTGTAACATACTCAATTTAAAGAATACAGTCTATTGTTAAGTTCATTTCCCTTACCTTGACCACCCAATCATCATGAAGACGTCTGCGGCGAATAGGACTGGAAAACAACGAAACAAGATCATTAAACAAGGAAACTATCAATTTAATCCAATATCCCAGAATTGTTGAACCTTATTTTCATGCAATTTTCCTCTGTGTGAAAAATTATTTGTTTCAATAATGAATGAAAGTGAGGAAGGATACAAATACTGAAACTAGCGATTAGTATACAGAATATGCATGCTGTTACATAAACTTCTACAAATATTGGTAAGAAATGCATATTTCCATGCAAAAAAAAAAAAAAAAAAAAAAAAATTATCAGTTATCAGATATTCCTTTACATGCAGACTACAACACACTTACTTGATCAATTTCTTGGGATCCAAAACCATGTTTTGAGATCCAGCCTTCTTTTCTCCCCCACCACCCTTATTATTGGAGTTCTTGAGCTGAAGATCCTGGGAGGACAGCGTCAGGGCGTTCATGTACCCCTGGTCATCCCCAAACAGCACCATTTCTTCATGAGACACGCTGGTGAAGGGGACGTAGGTCATACACTGGGGGGAATCCTCCAGGGGTTTGATCACATAGATTATCTGAAATAGTCCATTAAAATTTATTAATTAAATGTGAGTTAATGTAAACATATTTTAAAGATTTTTATTTTGTTGATTACTCTATAGTTTGTAACTGCTTAATAAGGTGCTATATGAGAAAAGAAAAAAAATTAAGAAAAAAAAGAAGAGTGACACCATTACAAACTGAGAAACATATTGATTATAATTGTTTAAAACATTTATAAATTATTTTTTTGACAAAAAAGTAAATAAAAAAAATTTTGCTACACACTCAAAAAAAAAAAAAAAAAAAAAAAGAAGCCTTTTTTAAACAAAGGACACATGCACAAATAAAATGTGTAGTTCTATACAATATAACAATATGTTATCATTACAATATATTCTATTGACAGTAATCTACAAAGAGCATGTGTTCCGCACCTGCGTCTTCCCCTTGGCTCTGTTATCCCAGATGGCAATACTTCTCTCTGTAGTTGCCACCACGCGGCGTAATCCAGGTAGATAGTCACAGCCAGTGATCCAGGCTGACTCCTGGGGATATAGAATATTTTAAACATGTATCTTTTTGTGTCTATTTTTCTTTAATTATTTCTTACTTTCAACTCTTATGATTTGTTTTTTCCCCACTAAACTTGCTATTGGAAATACAAGACATTTTTAGTGGTAAAATGGTTTGTAAATATTTGACTTCACTTTGAAAAATTAAAAATGTTGATTACTCACATCAATATCAGCACAGGCTTGCAATCTCAGCTGAAATGAGCAAGAGACAAGGCTTGAAAATTATTTCAGCAAAACCATATGTAACAATAGGGAGTCGTGTGCAATTTGGCAGGATGATGAAATGTTTTGTTTTTACATTCAACTTTAAGTAAGAGGTGTGTTAAAAGCAAGATGATAAAATCAAAAATTTAAAAAACAAAACAAAACAAAAAACAAAAGAAACAACGACAAGTTCTATGATATCTTGCTGTGTACTGACCTTCATATTCCACAGGGACACTGCTCCTTTCTGAGAGGCAGCCAGATAGCAGTCCAAAGACTGAATGTACTTCACACACTGTATGGTGTCACGTCGCTTTCTGTCTCCTACAATAGATAAATTATCCAAAAAGAAAGTTAAAAGATATATTTTTGCTTTGTTCATCGAATGGAATAATGTGGTGAGAGGGAGTCACCTGAAATGTTATCAAAAAGGTACTGCACAAAAACGTTTTGATTATGAGCATCACAGGAAGCCATAAAAAAAAAGAATAATAAATAAAAATAAAAAACACTGAAAAATGCTGAAAAATGGTTCAATTTTAAGCTGTGAGCAAGCAGCTTGCACTTCTCTAGTATCATAGTGTGACACTGCTACTGAACTATCAACAGAGGAATTTCTGAATTGTTACCCTGGTAGTGGTGAAATAAATCCTTACTCTCTCATATTCATTTCCTTTTCATTACATATCTCAATTATAGTTCGGCGATAAACTAAATGCCTTATCAAAAAGTATAAATTAAAACAAAAGTACAGTCACAGAAGTGCACTGATATTCAAGCTGAACAATAGTAAATTCAAATGTGTTTTGATCTTAATCTTTGCCTCAGCAGTATAGTTCTTAGCCATTTTATGAAAAATACACTAAATGACTTATTGATTTGTACACTGAAATGGTTCACTTCCAAGGTTAAATATGCCAGTGTCCATAGATTGATTTGACTTGACCTTTTTGATATCAGGAAGGTTCAAACTCTAGCTCTCTATTAGTACACCAAAACTTCTTTACTTAAGAAAGGTTATTTGGAACCAGGAACATAAGTTTAGTATTTTAATATTTAATGCATCAAATCATCAATGAACTCAAATGTAGGAACCTATGACATATCACTTTACTTCAGTCTTTAACACGGTAAAACATGGATTTTGTTCCTATTATCTCAGTCCATTTAATACACACAAAACAAAACTCTTAAATCAATAGACTCCAAAGAATTTGTGTTTTCATCTATTGACCCAAGTCATTTATCTTTAGTAAATGTCAACAGAGTTCAATAACCACGTAGATCACAGTCAGATCTCTGTGTGACTGGAGAGACCAGTGTCCATTGCCATGTTTATTTGATGTCTACTTTTATAGGATATACATAACACTTATGTCTGTTGATAGGAGGGTTAACCTCAACAAATGATAGGAAACCACACATAAGTTCTAACTGCCAGTACTGACTGCAGCAACCTGTTCATTTTAATACAAAGGGGAAAACCACTGGCATGAAACAAATTTTGATAACTGCCCAGTATCAATTTCAGTTTATCTTTTAAAGGAGAAATACTTAATTCAAAAGTGTTTTCCGGCCCATTTCTGTAATTTCAGTGGTCCCTATTACCATCATGACATTATAACCCTCTGTGTGTGATCTTGAATTTCAATGACTTTTGAACAACTTCTGCAGTTGAAGTGTTTTCAAAGGATTATACCTAAATCATATAAAGTTAAAAACTCATTTAACTTTGACCTATAATTAACCATGCTTTTAGCAATATCACATTTATACAAATCTAATAATATGACAATCAAAACATTTTTCAAAAACAAGTATCATATACAATCTAAATGACTGATGGAAAAATGTGCTGAAAGTTCTACATGTAATTTTTTCCACTATGTGCATCAACGTTTTGGATAACTGGCATTTTAAAAGTTAGAAATAGGTTATACTTACAGTAAAAAAAATGAAAGAAAGAAAAATATATAATTTTCTAATTTCATGGCTGTCAACTATTATTGGTGCATGAAATGTTAAAGGTAAGCTAGGTTCACACCTGCAGTAACATGATACTAACAGGTGCTTACCAAGGTGTGTGGCAGGTACAGGATTCCGCTAGTTGTGGTAAATATTTCTAGGCAATAGCTGACACTCAGTGCAGGATTATGGAGACAAACATCGATTTCGATTTTATTTTAAATTATTAATTCTACCTGCAGCTTCCCCGACCCTCCGTTTCTTAGAGACGGTGAATATGTTGGCATCCTCTCCTATAGGTGTCTCTTGCTCCTCATTCTCAGATTGAAAGTATCCAAACAACTGCAAACAACAGCATCATTAGTTGTAATTTACAAACATGATCAATGTTCTAAATACAGGACTTGTTCTCATGATGACTCTAAAACTATTCAAAAATGCTTTCCTTGCTGGTATTTTTAATGTTTTGCATTTACCATTTTTATTTTTTTAAACCAACCTTTAACTCATGTCACTATTGACTAGCAAAATTCTTCTCATGTCTACCCTGGTTTCTACAAATTACATAGCTTGTCAATGGTATTTGAAAGTTTGTTAACTGTACATTGATGATGTGCAGCACTAAATCTGATATCAATTGATAATGATATCAATTTTACATCACTCTTGCTGCCGTTCACGTACAACCAGTACCAGTATAAAAGATTAGCCAATTTAGTGTTTCTAGAATCAAGAATTTTAAGTACCGTATAACTAAAATATCAGTCTCTATACTACATACACTGAGAGTTCTTACCTCACTCCAGTCCACCTTGGCATCTGGGTTGGTAGATATCTTCCTGTATAATGCTTTCAGGTCTTGATTCTTTATGTCATTTCCAAAAAGAGATCTAATGGATTCACAGAACTGGTCATATCGCAGATTTTCTAAAAGAAGAAAGTAATGATTTAATTTTGCAAGTCTGATCACCAGACTTTGGTAATATAATGTCATGTTTCCCATCTTTATTGATGCGCAATTTTTCTTGTCACATGTTTATCAGTCATTTTCTGAACAGAAGTATTATTCACAATTGGTTTTTATTTTTCAGTTTTTCAGAAATTCTGTTTATGAAAGGAAGGTTAAAACTAAATCAAATTAAGCATTTGCAAATAATCAGCTTTTCTGTAAATTTATCGCTGAAACATGACCTTCTATCCTACCCCAAAATTACCAGCAAAACATCAGCGATGGCGCAACGTTAGACCTACAGGTACCTGTTATAAGTTGCCTTCTTTCCTCGGGGGTTGCCTCCACATCTTGTAGCGTAAGGCTTTTAATTAGTACTTGGAAGTCCTGAAGTTTCTTCTGGAAGCTACCTAGTGTGTAGGGCCGTTGTAGAGGTCCTCCACCGGATCCCACGGCGGACATGGTCCCACTTTGTCTACCGGACCAACTGGACACAACAGAATCACGGCTTCATTTTCACGTAGAGTGATTTATTTTCAGAAAGCTAAACTTTAAACTTGGATTTTTGAGTGCTGCGCTGTCAATAATGCGGAAGAAAACGCTTACCCTGCGTCCACCATTTTTCAGCTTTGATTTGCAGGTATCGACATTAAAACTCTTAAGCTCTGTCCGTCTAGAGTTACATATTAAAAGAACGACTGGTAAGTCTTAAAATTTCACCTTTACTGCATGGTCCCGCACATGCGCACTTGGTACAATGTTGTAAACACACCTGCTGCCAACCATGGAGATCAATCGCATTGCGGTAGGTGTGACAAACACTGGTTGAGATTTAGAATTCATGAAGTGAATAATCTAATCATCATGACAGAGATTGCGGCATACAGACCAAGAAGTTACGAAGACTCGGGTCTTAAGCACGTCTATAGAAGACATAAAAACTTGATTAATTACCGACTTTTCAAAACGTTTAAAGTGTTTAGGCCCCCTAATTAGATATGCTATCTTTCTAATCGAGAGACAGGTCCAAAAGGCGATCTACAGTTTTTTTTATTTGCCACAATTTTTAGGCCAATTTATTATTTTTTTACAAACGGGTTCCAAAACAGAACCTGTCAAAGTCAGGAAGTCAAGTAGGTACAAAAAATTAACAGCGTCATAGAACATAATAATACAGTCAAGTAGGGTGAAAGAACTATCCTGCAGCGATTGGTCCTAGACTTTAGGGTCAGACATTCCGCTGCGCTCAGAGTGTTTCAGATTTCATGTCCTCCTTGACGCTTTGTTTTTTCAAGAAATTGTAAAGAGATCTCTTCCCAACTTCTTGGTTTTTTGTACAATAAATTCTGTACCCGCAAAGTTCAAAGAATGTCAGCGAAGCGGTATTTTTAGCTTTTAATTGTATTGAAACTTTGGAATCTACGTAATCATCAACACCGAATTAATGTCACCCATTATGTGTGTGTCACTAGTAATTTACTGAGAACAACGTGGTTCTTGTGGATGACGTCGACTTCAGCGCCTAGGAAGCACTAATAAGTAGGCGTTACCTTAATTAAAGGGATAACAACTCTTCAGATGAGATTCAAAATAGGCCTACCACATTGTCAACACCAGTAAAAATATAATATTTTCCATTTTCCCTCCAAAATGGCAGTCATCGCATCTATTCTGATTTCTAGATCTGTACTTACAAAAACCAAACTAAAAAAATCCCCAGGAAAATCTATTTAATTGCATCTTGCCCACAAAATTAAGAGCTGTCATCCTTTTAACTTCATTCTTAAAAATAGAACAATTCATTTACGTATCATTAAATAAAACAAAAACACATTTCTTTGTTTCTTTCTTTATGTTAAACAACCGCAAATAACAACACTTATAAATGAGCACCATATGTTGCTGTCGTACTGACGAATTGACAGAAATATCACAACAAATTAATGTTCATTAAAAAGAAATTATCAGCATGTTACGACAAAAGTAAATTAGCACCGCATATTGTTGCTGTGCAAGCGAATTTCTGAAAATATAGTAACAAATGAATGAATACTTAAAATTCACAGTATCAATATCAATGAGTATTTATGCTTGGACGTTATTTCAAAACTACATAACAGTTTATCATTTTTTAACAGAGAACTACGACCCGCCAAAATTTCAAATAGTCATCAACAAATAGCCATTTTTATGTAAGTGAAATAAAATGTTCAACAAATGTATCTCATGGTATGATAATTAATTATTACTTGTGTAACGTTCATGACAGTATTTCTTTTTATTCCTCAATCCCTCGAATTTTTCTCAAAGTGCTCTGAGAAACTCCACACCACTTATGAAGATTAGCGGGGCCGTCGTCCCGTTTCTTTTTTAGTTTAGGACTGCTTGAAGATTTCGGCCCTTGTTTTTTCTCGAAATAAATTGGCAACGTATTGTAAACTTTCAGTCCTTCTGGCAGTTGAACGCCATCCTGGGCCTGTCTTTCTGGGTTGGAGCAACTTTTACAGCAAGTCCTCACTATTTTTCTGGGGCGATGCACAATGCTGTAGTGTCGCGATACCCAGGGAGGTTTTATAAGAGGTGACGTAGCGATCACGCGTTGCTTTAATGCACTAACATCGATTCCGTCAAGGCTGCGTCTTGCGGGGCGCTCCTGTTTCAATTTATCTTTGCTGATCTCAGAAATATCGGGCAAACTGTTGCTAAGAGTCCTCGTAAGAAGCGGAGGAAATGGTTTTCGATGAGATTCAATCCTCTGAATTTGTTCAGACGCGCGGCGAGAATTTTGTCCATAGTTAGTCGCTAGCTCGCTATCGGAGTTACTTGGCGAAGCTGCTCGGAGTTTTTCGGGCGTGGTAACGGGTAGACTGTGAACGGACAGCGTCTCGACGTCTCCATCGAGATTCAGCTCGTCGGTTATCAATAAGCGATGCATCTTTTCTGCCACAGTTCTACTCACATTGCTTTGAGTGTGTTTTCTGTCCTCATTAAAGTTACAATACGTTGTTTTTGTAAGGACCAAACCCACTTTTGAATCCTGAACTGCCTTTTCCTTGTTTTTGATAAGATTATTTGTTATACGGGAAATTCTACTTCTTCTTGAGAGCAAACTTGTCTCTGGCTGCTCACTTGTATAAGGCAACATACCTTACCTGCCGAACTTTTAAAGTTTTCGTAATTGCTTAGCGTTTTGTAAAACTGACGAAATCGTGGAGCTGCGTTGGTCTATATACACATCAGCAGTTTATTTTTAACTCCAACATTGCTGACCTCTCCGCCAATCACGGGGCAGTATTTTATTTCAGTCATCCTTATTTGGTCATTATTACCATTTATACACCTGCAGGGAGTGGTAAAATGAGCCTGTCTGAAGTCAACCAGGCGTGGAAGCACACACTTAAATGCTTTCAGAAAGCCAACACTACTTACTGTTTCTATTCTTGCACTTAACGCATTGACGTACGTGCAATTCAAACACCAAGGACAATAGCTAAGGCCGCGCTGTATTGAACGGCGTTAATAGGTTGCGTTTGCATAAGGCGGCTTAATCACGAGGTGCTCATGCAATGAAAGTCAAAGTAAATGATCAGCTTACTACTCTGAGTTTACCTTACGGAGGAAATCCTCACGGGAAAAAGGCCCGATTGTCCATTCATGCTTTGATCGGAAGTGGGACGCTTTATTGTTTTTAGAGACGATACAAACAAGAGCCATGGTCACCTTATTGCTATTGTTACTAATTATAAATCCAAGACATGGGTTGTTTAGTTTTCACGTGGCAAATCAATATATGGTCTTCTTTTCTAGGACAAATTAAGTTGAACCGTATCTTTATAAACGATGATAAACATTTAGACCCGGCCAGTCATATGGGTCTCTGATAGTGAAAAACAACTTAGTCTTCAGAACCAGAAATTTCAAATTTGAATGAGTTCCGAAGACATTGCACCTATTAAGACCGCAGACATTTTATAACCGAATGCTTCTGTTGCGTCAGCCTACTTCTAGATAAATGTATTCCATTTTTGTATATAACAATTTAAAATCTGGAATGAAGATTCAATTTGATATGTTAAGAAAACATGAAATACCAGACATTAATAATAAATCTTTTTGTAAGTAAAATTATGAAAAAACGTAATTAACTAGAAGTGCACAAATGATTTCATGCATCTCACCTGCATATTAAGTGAATGTATATTGTGTAACATTATATAAGTATAATTTTTTTTTCTCTTTCATTTACTTACTATCCTTACTATCTTTCCATATGTATAATGTATAGTAGCTAGAGAGCCTCTAAATGTAAAAACATTTCAGTGCTCAATAAATTATTATTATTATTATTATTATTATTATTATTATTATTATTATTATTATAAAGGCACTTATTATCAAATTAAAGGAAAAGACAGAAGAAAAAAATCCTTCCGAATTAAATTGGTTTTGTCTCCAACGACTAGATCTAATAATATATTACTTATAGATTTTTTTACGAACTATTCCTGATGCTAAAACGATAGGGTCGATCGTTTTTACCTTTCCTCAACAATCACCAATTCTGACATTTTTCAGGGTTAAAATCAACACTTTTATAATGCCAGCTTTTATGGCAATACCGAATGAAAGGGTAATACATACGCTTCACATCCTCAATGCACAGAAAAATGAATGCGTTTTACAAAAATAAAAATGAATAGGCAAACATCTGTCCAGAATTAAGTACGTTAACCAGATATTTGTTATTCACACTGATCTGTGTGGTTTGTTATTAAGTGCACTGTCTTCAGAACGCATTCACAGGTCAAAAATGCCGATTAATTCAGAACAAGAACACGGCACTGTAGAAACCGACCACATCTTGCAACGGACAAGACGGAGATTCTGTACCCTCTACTAGTACTAGGGTAATGGAGATTAATATTTTGCTGGCTGTTCACATATATTTCTCTTGCTAATTTTGTGCACTCTGGTACAGAGAGATATACAAAAAAAGTTAAAAATATATATATATATATTTTTTTTTCACAGAAATGACGTCATCATCCATCAATCTATTGGGAGACTAAAAATACTGCAGACTTCCTCATTACAATCAATGAAAGTTAAAGGACTTTTTTATATTTAAAAACGAAGCGGATATTGTGATTGACAACCATTATATGACTTAGCTTATTATATACCCCTTTTCATAATGGTGAGGCATTTGTCATGACGAACATAATGAACTAGAAACGAGACAGCTTTTTGAATGAATGGAAAAGGTGACGGCAATGATAAAGTTATTGTACATCATATTAGTTGTTCAGCATGGTCTTTTTGGATTTTCTTTTTTATTCCTCGGTCAGCTATGAGCTTAATTGTTTATTCTGCCTTCAAACCTATAAGCTTGTTTATCCTGCAGCTGCCTTTAAACCGCACAGGTTTTAAAGGAAAATGTGCACAAGAAAACTCTCAGTGCAATCATTTTATAACATATAACAATGATCTACTTCCTTCTTTTTTTATCCCCAGCTGTTGTATTTTTTGTTTGGAGAGACGCCCCACCTCCTTGCCTCCCTCACGCATCGAACAAATGCTTCGATTAAATTTACGCCAACCCTCTCTCTACCGAGGCACAAATAATTGGAAGAGCCAATGAACCGATTTTCCTACTTAAAAGAAAGAGGACTTTGGAAAGAAAGAGGTCGCGGCAAACAGAGGTAGTAGAATATGAGAGGAACAGATGTGTTTCTTTTCTACAGTGCACTCGATGGAGAGTTGACAAGGGCTTGACGTAAAATAAGCACCAGCGTCTCAGTACTCTCAGCTACCCACACGTTAATTACTGACGCTCGTAGTCAAATTTGATTCGCTTTTCATTTACGTGTATTTAAAAGAAAGTTAACTAGGACATTTTTCCATCCGAATCATTTTAGTAGATACAATTCTTAACTTTCATTTGTTCACGATGTTTAAGAGTGTTCAGTGGTGTCACATTCATAAATTGCTGATGGCGAGAAGAAAAGTTGTTTTACAATATCAATTCCCCTGATTGCAAGGCAAAACCGAGTGATAGAAAACCAAAAGTTTTCGAATATGCTTTCGTACAAACGAGGAAAGTGTCAAGTTAAATTCTAAAAGCGCGTTTTAATCTAGGAAAAGATTAAAAAAATGTACCTGAAAAAGTCCAATTAAAATTTAGTAAGCGGCATCTGCTGTGTTGAGGTATTTGTATTACGGATGTGTAAGGTTGGGTGCCAGGTTCCACAGTAAACAGGTCTCGGGGATGGCGCATAGGATTACAGCCTGATGTGGCGTGGGTGTCTGGGTGGGCGAGAGGGGTCTGGAGTGGTGAGGGCGTGGCAGAACTTAGGGTATAGTAAGACTACTTCATGGATAATGAAAAACACATTTTGGTCCTTCATTTCCTCGGGAGAGGGGTGGGGGTAGGGTAGATAGTTGATGGAACAAGTTCGTAGAGGACCGCACTGAGATTTTTCGAAACGTAGGTGTTAGTTTTTTTCTCTGTTTTGGTGAAATATACCAGAAATACAGCATTTTTATTTTTGAAGGTCATCTTTACAAACGAGAAAAACATGAAAGTCGGGTGTTCTGATCGAGATCACGTGGGATGATTTTACCCAGTGTTCAATATCAGCAGTACACGCTCTGGGATTAGTTCTTACTGTATGTGCGCGTTTGCGCGCAGGGCATGATCTGTGTTGACTTACATGTACATTGTGAAATTAACATACAATTTCATTTTGGGAGAGGCTTAACTGATGCCCTGCCTTGGACGATATCGTTGTTGAACAGTTTCTGTCCTTGGAATGTCTACTGGTACATTGTGGTTAATTCTTCTGTTGGGGAACTTTACCATTAATACACTAATCAGTATGATTAAGAAAATAAGAACTGTGAGAGCGAATTAGCCATTTGTCCCTTTGCATATAAGTGCGAATGTGACATCAACGAATTGTGCACGTTACATCTGTTTCGCGGAAGGAATAGCCGGCCTGAATTCAAGATGTTAACCTAAATATAGATCTTGAACACATATGCAGTGCTTTGAAACGTCAAAACGTGGAGTTGTCATTCGCTGTAGTTATTACGTAAAAATAATCCAAATTATTCTATTAAATCACATTTTAATTCTTACTATAAATATTAAATACTTACTATAAACGCCAACATCAAGACAACTTCACTTTTAAAGTTTCATGTCATCATAAACTATAATTGAAAAGCTTGGCCATTTATTTCTCTGTAGTTCATAATTTTAATGGCAAGGAGAACAGTTTGAGCAACAAAATTTCATTTGAACATGATATCCAAACTGATACTGCTACTTTTTTAAAATGTAAAAAAGATTTTAAAGGAAACATCTAAAATTTCTAATATATATATATATATATACGCTATAAAAATTCAATATAATACAAGTTGGGTCAACCTGAGAGGTTTAAAACATCTGGTGCCTATGACAATGGGAGTATTTCCAACTCCGCCTTTAACTGGGACATTCATTTCTTAATGTCTTGATGAATGAGTATGTCTAGTTTTCATGCACCTGCCAAAACTACATCTCCACTGGCATAAAATGCATCAAGTCCTGCGAAATTTCCCTTTCTACAGAGGAGCTGTTCTAGTATAGGTGGGTTTATATGTTCTGTACAAAAGGAACAAAGTCCTTCAAGATGAATATACACATAATATTACTGTCAAGTTAAAACCGTCATTATACAATGTCTTAGATAAAGAACTGATACAATATTAGAATCACAGTTGTTCTTGAGGACTTGTTCTCTTCATAACTGTGAAGAGGGATGGATGTCTTTCTCCTGTATCTGTGATTTTTTATTTTGGCAAACTTTGACGTTAGCACCTGAAAAATAAAATCTCTATATTTAGTCTGTTTGCGACCCAGTGTCACAAAACAGAATATCTGTGCATGACAAGTTGCTGTGCACTTATCATTAGAGTTGTATACCTTGCCTTTGACAGTCCGTGAAAACTGACAGTCACAAAGTCTTGAGGAAGTAAATTCCTTATTTTAATTAACACTTAAAACATGAAACTTATTTTATTTTTAAATATCAAAATAAATATCAAACTGACAAAAAAAGTAAAATGAAACCTTTTTAAAACCAAGCTCACCTTTACAATTTTAGTAAGAGTTCGTTACATTCATTTTCATCCACGTTATCTGGGCATGCGCATGTGTGGCCACCGTACTGGGTAGGCAGGCACAGGAAACGGCAACCTCCATTGTTACGAGCACATGCGTTTGATCCTGTGATACAAAAAATAACTGTTAACTACTGCAGACATAAATCAATCATTATAACATATTTTCAATATTTTGAAGTAATAGGAGACACTAGTGAACCACAAAATTATACATTTTAGTCAATCATCAAACACTCTTCAAAGTTGACTAATCACTAAATTGGCTGAAACATGATCTGTCCAAATTGTCAATAATCATTAGTCTACATTAACAAAACTTAAGCTAGTTATCCTTGCCATTGGTCAGTTATGACCAACTGTGGTCACCCACCTGCTGGACACTGATTCCTGACAACTGAAATTCCATACAACTTGCCATTGCCACCAACAGGCAAACTCAGAGCCTCGTTGGGACGTCCGCCATTTTTATCTATGTTTGGGATTGTCTTGCTGAAATATCAATGTGACAAATTATTCTATTTCTGGTACTATCAAAGCTATTTTCCTTGGGTCTGACAGTCAATAAAAACTGAAATTGACCAAGTCTTGACAACGCAAATACCTTAAACAGCCTGGATCAGTTAAATTGATCACTTAATGCAAAAAGGGCTTTAAACAACCTGCACATAGCAAGGAGATTTGACCAAGTATGGCAAGATATATATGATGCCTTCATGCTATCACAGAATGCCATACAATACATATTTGTCATTGTGTTAGAGAAAACAGTAAGTTGTGACCACTGGCTACTTACGTCTCCCAGTCCGTCCAGTATATAGTGGTGTCTGTGCTGGCCAGACCAAACGGATATGAAGCCAGACCATAGATGGTGCGCCTACCAACGCCATCTATCCTCATACATTCAACACGCTGTGTACCTACAAATTAACAAAGAAAATGGTGATTGAAAAAAATTGCAGTAAAATGAAAATGATTGTCAATTTGTCATATATGAATGATGTCCATGATGTATATAGCTAGAGTTTGAACATGTATACAATATAAATACCAAATAAATAATTCTGTTTTCAATGTTTTGGTTGTTTGTGCATGGTTGTAACATGCAGATAGTGCCATGTCACCTTTTACACATAGCTAGCTGTGATAGGCTATAAATGGTTGTAATGTGTTATGCAAATGTGTCTTTTGTGATAGTCCAAATCAAAGTGTATTTTAATACCAGTTCATATCGGAACATAGCTTTGACATTTTCTTCAAAAGCTTTCAACTTCTCAGAGGCCAAAGGCATAATAGTTGCTCATAAGGGGATCTTTAGTGAACATGGACTACTGTGTGCTACATATTGCACATTGTGTTAGTTGTGATAGTGTATTGTGTTAGTTGTGATTGTGTATTGTGTTAGTTGTGACAAATGTTCGCATTACCAGCATCTCCCCAGCATAACTGCTGTGAAGAGTAATCCATAGTCAGTCCATTGGGCAGCAAAAGGTTGTCCTGGACAAATATTCTACGGTTGGTGCCGTCCATGTTGGCTACTTCAATCTTTGGCTCCCTTCGGTTCCAGTCAGCCCAATACATGTTCCTTGAATTACATTAAGGGAGTGTGTTAGCTGTGACCATGCCACTGTGTTAAGAGAACCATTTAAAATATGTGCATATAAATAGAAAACATTTCTCATATTTTAATCTGCAATATCATACATATAACTTGGAAATCATTGGTAAATATAGGTCAGAATATCAAAAAGAAAACAATATTTTTAAAGTGAACAGATTGAGTGCAGTAAAATACACAATCCCTACATAATAAGATACAAAAAATAGACCCACATTGAGTGTCAAGTCATCAATATTTCGATCCCCCACGCCCATGCTCCTTACCCCCTAGCTGGGTCCACAGCAATGCCTCTGGGGTTGACCAGTCCAGTCTTGAAGAGGGTCTTCCTGTAAGATCCGTCCAGCCTGGCCACCTCTATTCTGTCCAGAGCTGAGTCTGACCAATACATGTTCCTGGACACCCAGTCCACAGCAACGCCCTCTGGGGAGCCAAGATCTGCGGAGGAAAAACAGGTAGAAGTTGACAACAGAACCATGGGCATTATTCCTTTATATTAATCAAGACAGAACCAAAGAAATGATAGAGAGCTTGATTTATGATTTACTATTTTTTTACAGCATTGAATTCTGTATGGGGATATAATACTTAAAATAGGTCTTCTTTCAGGGGCGGATTGAGGCCATCTTCTGGGTCTTCTGGAAGACGGTCAGATTTTCAAGTTATCATTGTCGGGTATCCAATTTTTTCTGTCAGAAAACGGCCAAAAATGTAGGATGGATAAACAAAGATAATTAAGAAAACTGTCAGAAAATATCTCTGGATCCGCCCCTGTATTTCTACTGTGGCACTGGTACCTTTGATGACAATTTTCTGATCAGACCCATCCAATCTGGCCTGGCGGATCACCCTGTTAGAGACATCTGTCCAGTAAATACTGCGCTCATAACAGTCCACATCTATACCAATAGCTGTCTGACCTGGGGGGAAGAACATGGATTATAGGTATGTCCATAAGGCACAATGTTAGCTGGGAATGGTATCAAAATCTTGGGAATTATATTTAGAAAATACAATGGGATAGATGCTGTATATCTGTTACTGTATCTTTTAAAAGATTTCATAGCATTAGCTGTGTAAAGTACAGAGAAATGATATTTTCAAATATACAGTAAAATATTATTTTGGTGGAACTGTTTAGATTGATACACTTCACGCATATTTTAACTGCTGCATGGAGAACTACACTGGGCCTTTTTTCTTGGTTTTAAGCAGTACAGTTTTCACCTTTCATATCTAAATTATAGATAACGACATACCTGGTATGAGCAGCACCTGCTTGCCAGGCTCTCTCTGGCTGGGGTTGAAAGGTACCTGCATTATGGACATGCCTTGGGTGTACAGGAGGTAGCTGTCTGCTGCTGAGGAAGCTGTCAAATACAGTTAGTATTACATATGTTATGTATTTGTTTTAGAACTTGTCATTCTTCATATACACGTGTACCATGACTGACTTTTTTCACTTTGGAATAAATTAACACTGACTGTTTCACTAGTACACAGAGTGCTTATGATATTATTAACAAATCAAAATAGTTACAATTCTTTAAACATGAAAATTGACAACCAAACTTGAAACTTTTTAATAGAAATATTAATATATAATATATTTTATCATGAAGTTATGAATTACAACATTTATTGCCTACCATAACACCTCTTGCCATCACCACGGTAACCTCTATTACACAGACAGACATAGTCACTGCCGGCCAGGGTGCAGGCTGCATTGGGGTCACAGATGTTGGGGTTGTTCCTGCAGTTGGCTGAAATGATGAATTTTATATCCCATGAGCCCTTATGAAATGATACCAAGCAAAAGCTTGACAAGTCTATAAGTGGTAGTTGGAAATTGAAACAAAGGCCTCATCAATAAACAATATACAAGGAATCAAATTAAATAGTATAATTTAAAATGTCATTCTTAATGTGTGTGTGTGTGTGTGCGTGTGTGCGTGTGCTCACCTCCAGGTCTACAAGCATACCCATCTCCCTCATAGCCCTGCCTACATATACATCTATATGCTCCAGTGGAAGACTCATACAGGCAGTCAGCATTAGGGTCACAGTTGTTGACTTGATTGCATGGCATAACTAGAAATTGAACAAAATACAATAAATATGAGCCAGATATGAGAAAATATATCAAAATAAAATAAAGACTAAATAAAATTCAGCTAACCATGTAAACTAGTTAACTCATGACATGGTATAATTATATAATTATAATCATAAATATAAACTGTAGTTCCATACAGACTCGGTCAGCACTTTAATGTAAGTTAAATGGTATTAAATCCAAAAATTTAACAAACATATGAATGAAAATAAAAAAAAATGATCATATATTAAAACTGTATTGCTGTGATAGATGTGACATTTAAAATTTTAACCCCCTCCACACACAGGCTCAAGCAAACATGCACACACACTCACCAGATGGCGTGCAAGTGCGACCATTTCCTGTGTATCCCTCCCTACACTGACAGACATAACGGCGTAGAATGGCGTCTGGCACACACTGTGCATTGCGGTCACAAATATCAATCACATTACACTGCTCTGGGGTGCATGTATAGCCATCCCCTGAAAATACATACACATTAATTAATCTCCAAAAAATAACATAAAAAATACACCATTAATATATAAATGACAACTGAGACATTTAACTGTAAACTTTGGTCAAAATGAGCCAACTGATATAAATAATAATGACTGACATCACAATTTACTCATTCACAAAGTTTTAATGTATAGTAATATATAAAACATAAAACTTTTCCATGAAGCAATAAGTTTTTATCAACAGCACATACACAGATAAACATAAAAATTTATTATATATTGAAGCCTATGTAAGTTCAACGAAGCACTCAATTTTACTTAAATTTTAACAAGAACACACTTATAATTTTATAACAAGGTTAATTAATTAATAAACTAATAAACAAACAAAAAAAGTTTTAGATATAATTTTAACAATATCACAAAAATTCCCAATATCCCCTTTGATTTTACCTCCATAACCCAGAGCACAGCGACACTGGTACGATCCACCGCCCACATCAATACATCTGGCGTTGGGGTGACAGTTACTGAGGACACTGCAGTCATTGGCCTGTTGACATGTCTGACCATCACCACGGTAACCAGAGTTGCAGCGACACTGATAGCGGCCATTTTCGTAGAGGCACTGAGCGTTCACATCACAGTTGTTGACAACACTGCAATCGTTGCTTGGTAGACAGCGCTGTCCATCACCATAGTAACCTTGGTTACAGCGACACTGATACACGCCCTCGACAGGTACACATTGTGCGTTAATGTCACAATTGTTAACCACATTGCAACCAATCTCTGAAAAAGAAAGCATGCAGTTTGTGTTGGGTGTATTTCTTAACCATTTAGGTATAAACTGCATCACATTATGTTAATGTCTTGGGCTATGTTCAGTAAGTAAATGTGAAAAAATATGAGCTAAAAATTATTCTGAAAAAATTATAAGAGTCACAAAGATCGCATTCACAACAAATCCTGGGGACTAAATATGGCGGACGTACATGCAAGAAAAACCGCCTAATCTTTTAATAATCTCTCCGCCTCTCACACGCCTCCCCATGTGTCGTCCCAATGGAGCCGAGATTTAATGACTGTCCCCCCGCAGGGACGACGTGTGGGGAGGCGTGTGAGAGGTGGAGAGACTATTAAAAGATTAGGCGGTTTTTCTTTCATGTACGACCGCCATATTTAGTCCCCAGGATTTGTAAAGCCTGGTTCAACTCGTGAATGCGATCAAAGCCTGCCAATTTCATCTGATGTAAATACAACATCCCATGGATTCTGGTATAAATTTTTAAAAATTCTATCTCTCATCCATGCATTCTTCTAATGTCTACAATCCTTACCATACTGTATCCTAGTACAATCTTTTCCGTCTCCTGTGTACCCCTCGTGGCACTGACAGCGGTGGAACAATCCACTCACGTCAAAGATACACTGGGCATGGACGTGACAGTTCTGACAGTTGATTTCAGCTGAAAAACAACAATTAATTAAATTAATTAATTAATTTAATTAAATTAACAGAGGTCCCCATACACATTCTACAAGTCTCAGTTACATATATGGCATTTTCAGGCTTAAAGATTATTTTTTTGATTTTAGGAGGGAGGCACTTGATTGCAGCTCCTCTCTCCAGGCAATCTCCACGTAATCCCACAGATCAGTGCAGTGAGCAAGGAGATCAGTTCACAGGATTTACATAGCAGGGTATAGCAAAAATGTACCTACTCCCTTTAATTTAAGTTATAACTTAAGTGTTTTATTGTTAAAACCTTCTGGACCAAGGCCTAAATTTGATAAGTCTATTTTAATTGGGAATCTAAGATTCTGCACTTTAGGGTGCATATCATCTTTTGTATTTTGAACATATGTACTTTCGATGGCATGTCTGAATTACATCTAAAACCATCTGTGCGTACTTCAGTTGTATCAGACAAATCAAATAAAATAAATGTAAGAAACTAGCATGTCACAAGCTCTTGGACAAATTGGTAAAAAAGCAAATTATTTCAAAAGCCAACAAAAGCAGTTTTGTTTTGGTTTGAGTGCACAAAATAAGCATTTGTTACAATTTTTAAAACAAAGATTGAAAAGATTATGCTTCCACATCTTTACAAATATCTGGACAAAAACCAGTATCATGCACAAATAGTGGCTATTTTAACATAAAACTACCATGATGCAAATTCTATCAATTGAAGAAATTTCACATAATTTAAATAGTGTTCAATCTGATAGTGTAAGTTCAGCACTGCTACCACTAAACCCTTTTTTCAAGAGACAAACTTATAATTCAAAAATATCATAAAAAAATTTTATAATAAATAGTCTCTTCCTTACTACCAAAAAAATACAACATGATTTTGGTTTAGTTAAATATTGCACTTTGAAATGTTTTCTCATTTCTATTTACCACTACTTACGTTGCTCAGTGCCAGAACACGACAACCCATCACCACTAAATCCATCGTTACATTCACACTGGTAAGAATTTGTGTCTTGGTCAAGCACACACTCTGCGTTTGCGTCACAGTTGTTAACCTCATTACAGCTGAACTCTGTAGCAAGCACACACATGTTATATGCAATAATTCTGGGTAAACTTGACAACTATAAGCTCTATGGTTAACCAGGCCAAATAACCAGTCAATTTCTTATTTGTACTACACAGCTTTCTGTCAAATCTGACTCAGAAAACATGGCAATTGCATTACATGTTAATATTGAAAAACAAAGATTTGCTGTTTCTGATTTTGAATAAAGCAAAATTGACAGTTCCCAAAACTCATAAAATGCTTAATTCAGATAAATGACAGATTCAAGGAATCATTAGTGAATTTGACTGATTAAATTGGCCAAGTCAAAGCAAGGAACTGAAACAATAAAAGCCTAATTAATTGAAAATATAACAAACACAGCAAAGACAGCAATCACTGCTTATCTAAAACTGAAAACATATTGAACTACACATTGGCAGATCCAGGATTTCCAGGAAGGAGGGGGTGGGATTGAATTTTTTCTGTGAAAAGGGAGGAAAATATAAAATAGGATAATTTTAATACAATATGCCTGGCAGAGGGGTGAACAAATTGCTTGGTACTGTCTTGTGTTAAGCTTGGTATTGTCTTGTGTTTCATGTGAGGGAGAAAGGCCAAGGAGGAAGCTAGAGCGCTGTGCCCACTGGATCTGCCATTGCTAAACTGCATCAAATATTTGTTCTACAAATACAGCTAATTCCCACATTTTTCTAATGGTCTTCTGAAAAGGTCTACAACTGCCTATTGATGATTTCATCTAATATAAAAATTCTGTAAAACAAAATTCAGCAGATAATTTATGTGTAAATAAAAACATAAATGGAAACTAGGATGAGCTAGGTTCTTTTAACACACTTCCTGATAACAAAATAAAACAAAATGCCTACAGCAATGAAAAGAAATCTCAAATTATTCAGGTCTTATAAATGGATTAAGCATTTGCAAACTTGAGCCTCAGATTTGTGAGCACAAATACCCAATTTAAAAACTCCAGCCACAAATTACGTAAGAACCCCAACATAAAATTAGTAGCCACGAGCACAGCGATAGGACCCATAAACTATAAATTCAGTGTTTGTGTGGCACAAATTTTATGTGGATGTACTTAATTTGTGTCTCCAATCATTTGTGGTCCTAAATCTAAGGCTCATGTTAGCAAGTAGCAATTATCATTTATGAGACGTGTTATCTAAGAACACTTAAACTGTGATGCAAAAACACAAATAAAACGATACAAAATACAATATCAGACAAACATTTGTAAACTACACAAACAGTGCATTAGTTACTCTTTTGCAACAATTAAGCATGTTATATAATAAATATAACTACAGACATAAAGGTTGTGTTAAGGATGGTAATCAAGCTATTTGTGCCTTGATCATATGTGTTAGGTGTGACATTGTTAAATTGTAAATCATGTGTTAGTGCGACAACAACAGAAATGACTGTAACCTAAATGAATTTGGTAGGTATAGAAAAATCAGATATAAGTGTACTTTGTAAGGTGTATTAATTAGGCTTGGTGGTTGTGGTGAATGTGTTAGTTGTGAGATCAAAGATGTGCTTGGATGTGATATTACTTTTGAAGTGCCATATCTTACCAATGCGGGTGCATTGAACTCCTGTGCCAGAGAAACCAGAGGTGCACTCACACTTGGGTGCGCCAAGATCACTGTCGTACACACAGCGTGCATTGGGATCACAGCGGTAAGCACCACACGTCAACACATCTCCTGAACCAAAAATAGCGACATCATGCATTGTTGGGGAATGGAGAGGATGGGGTATGAACACTGCAGACCCATGATAGATCGACAGAGCAATCTTTTTTTAATTTTCTTATTTTTTTTAAGCTGAAGATAAGTAGCACTGGGATTACATCAGTTTTCATTAAAGTATTCATGAAAAGTAAAAGGCATTTTTTATTTGTAGACCTTCAAATGAAGCACCCCTTTTTATAATAATGTCTTGGTTTGGATCTGCAGTGCCAGTGAGGTACAACACAACAAAAGCAGTGTTAATGCCAGATTGTGAAATATTTTGAAGAAAATCAATTCTGTAATTCATCAAAATAAAAACAAATTGGTGCTGAAAAGACAAAGGTTCTGTTCATCTTTGCATGAAATAAAATAGCATTTCACATAACAATAAATAAATAAAATAATAATAGACAGTTTTCCTTCATTAAGTTGTCCAAAAGACCAATACATTGAACAGTGTGCTTGCTTTTATGATAATTCAGCATGTAAGCAGTTACCATGGTAACTTCTTGCCAAGCATCCTTAGTAATGCAATGGGGCATAAGTAACTGAAGCAAAATATAGACATAAATCAAATCTCAAACAGCACTGATTATATATATATATAATGTTTCCAGTAACATAAGCAACATAAATGCTGAAATATTGACTGTAAAGCCTTTTTGAAGCCATGTAAAAATTGCTGCATTTACAAAACAAAAGTAAATAAATGTGTACGTGGTTGGCTGGGTATTGAGAAGTTAATTTAAAAGATGAAATTTAATTTGGTAGCTAAGACACTGAATTATCTATCTGTGTGTGTGTGTGTTCCGTATGTGTGTGTGCACGCACGTGTAATTGTGTGTGGGTGTGCGCGCATGCAAGTGTGTGCTATATGGGGCGTAGAGATAATTATGACTGTGGATCCAATATTCCACAATATCTTTAGTCAGGGGGGCAATCATGCACCCAGCTCTGTCAGTGGCATCCTGCTGTGCATCTTCTCACTCACTTTGACAGTTTCTTCCGTCGCCCACATATCCAGCCTCACAGCGACATTCATGACCTCCGTCAGTGTTGTAACAGCGAGCATTAGGATGACAGGTGTCTCTACCTGTGGCACACTCATCTATATCTGAAATACACTGGAGATATTCTTATACACACTCATTTATATCTGAAACACACGTGAGATATTCTTTTACATACTCATTTATATGTGAAATACACAGCAGATATTATTTAACACTCCAGTGCTGCTAAATAATTATGTTCAGTAAACCTGATGAATTATGAATACAGGCATATAATCAAAAGTACCATATCAATATGTATCGAACCATTGCATGTTAATTGTAAAAGAGCAAAATGACATTATCTGACTTCTAAAAATTGATTTAAGTTAAAAATTTTTGTGCAACTCAATGAATTTTCAAATAAACAGAAAAAAAGCTTACCTTCACAGGTAATTCCGTTGCCTTGGTAACCATTCTTACACCTGCACTGGTACTGCTGTCCCACGGGAGTACATGCAGCATTCTCGTCACAAATCTGACCACTTGAGACACAGGGGTCACTGGCTATTAGATAACATATTTTTTTTTTATTTGGAGTCCATATATTATTGGGAATTAGTCTGGGATCATCCTTTGAAACATGGCTTAGGTGGTAAAATACACGAAGGTCAATAATTTAATTTAAAAGACTACATTACAGTTTGTGTAACAGTTCAGGATTTTATGATCTTTTCTATTATTTTTTGTTGTTAAAAGACTGAAGTAATTTTTTTTTATTTTAATATATTATAGTTCAAGAAGTTCAAAAATTTAGGTTGTTTCATTCAATTATACATGACAATAAAAAACCAAGTACTAGTATTTCTGTTTACTCACAAGCCATGGGTGACACTCTATTGGTCAGGGCATATCTCACAATCATTTCTTTAGGGTCGTAGACAACAAAGTTTCTGGATACTCCCAGTTTCATGGAGTCTGTATCCTGAGGTTCGTACTCGCAGGCTTCATACACTACAGTCTGGTCAACACTGTAGCGGTACGCCACCCCATCCAGCCTGTATACACGGTCCGAGTATGAACGCATCTGGCCTGAAATGAATTACAAATCATGTCCACTAATCAGAAATATATGCATATAGATGTCTGGTGTGGTACAGTCCTTTTTTTCTCACTTTGACAGAAACAGATGTGTTAGGTGTGACTTTTACATATAATTGCATTCAGAACTACTAGTATGTTAAGTACATTATTGCGTTAGGTGTGATAGCAATTTGCAGTGTATCCTATGCACTACCTGCAGAAATTCTTCTAAACTCTTCATTATAGTCATCAATGGTGACTTTTTGGCCTTCCTGTATTTCTGGGATGGTGCCATTGATGTAGGTTTGCATCTGCATGTAGTTCAGAGCATTGTGACCCTCAAAGTGTTGGCGGACTGTTAACACATCGCCTGTGCTCTGGAAACGGACTGTGACTGTCCTGTTCATGCGGCCCCCTGGTGAGTAAAAAAGTAAATATGATTCTCAATCAGCACCGAGTCCAAGAAATATTTACACATATGCAATAACTACGTGCATCTTTCAGTTTGAGAGAAAACAAAATATTTAACATGGCATAAATTAAAATAAGGGTAACAGAGGCACAGAATACTGGGTGATCTGGTTCATTCAATGATTTAGTGTTTGTGATTTTTTTCAAATATTTACATACAGTGAATGATATATAATTTGAGGATGTAGGCACAGTCCCTTGGCCCAAACCGTAATGAAAATTTATAATAGTTCATTAAAAATTGCAAATAATACATTGGAAACTGTTAAGAACAAGAATGCTTTGGGGTAGATCATTTAAATTTTAGTCAGATCTTTTTATTACCTGAAATAATCTGAATTTTCTACTAAACATGTGCTGAAGTGCTCGTGTAGATTATTTCAAATGACAAATTTTAGCATTTCCATCATCCATGACATTGCATCACAAGCTTACCTGCCACCATGTACCCATTCTTTGATCCTGGTCTCTCTGGTTTGGCAAAGAGCCACCCCAGTATGCCGCCTACTGGAGCCAAGCTCTGCATACTGTAGCCAATACTTGGTGGGATACGACTGACAGCCGTGTATGCTCTGCCATCCGAGGTCACGATGTACGAGTGGAGGTCAGTTGGACCGACCTGCTGACCATTGATTGTACCTGTCACTATGCCATTTACTCTCTGTGGGACACCTGGCAAAGATAATCATCACATATGAAATAATTACAATTAATGAACATTCTGTTTAAGTTTAGAGTCTATTTTCTTAAAATGAATAAATTTTAAAAAATAAAGTTGATCTGTTGAAAAATTAATTTGGATGTCATTTAATACCTAAATAAAAAAATAAAAATAAAAATAAAATAAATAAATAAATAAAATAAATAAATAAAAGAATTATTCTAGGTACATTGCGTAGGCATAATTAACCCACCTGGTTCCAGACAATCTTTCCCATTGCCAAAGAATGGAGCCACACACTTGCAGCAGAAGCCAGGGTTGTAGTCTATACACTGTGCATCACTGTGACAGGTACTGGCCTGGCTAGCACAGGTGTTATCTGCCTTGTCTCCCTTATCTGCAGAGGAAGATGTATCTTAATTAATCATATGAGTTTTTTAGTAAAAAAATATCTTTATTTTCTAATGATAATGTTAGAGTTTGGCAATAAATATGGCACATCAAGTTTATGTATTTTCAAGATTGGATGATCACACGTACTGCTTCCATGAAACACGATAGGTAATATTCTTCTCTTAATTCATTTGCATGTAAATTAATGCCATCAAATGTGAATTTACAATCTCAACCTCCACACACACTCATGCATATGCATGCATTCTCTCTCACACACACGCAGATGATAGGAGCACACATGATCACGGACACATACATGCAGGTACTGGGGACAGACAGACAAACAGACAGACGCATTCATACACACACACGCACGTACAGAAGTACTGAGAAAACACACACACACACACACACACACACACACACACACACACACACACACAGAAGTACAGGGGACACACATGCATGCACACACACACACACACAAGCACACACGCGTGCACACACACACACACAAGCACACATGCACGCACACACACACACCCAAGAGCACACGCTTGCACACACTTACCCTGTCCAGAGTTGGCATCTGCAGCCTTGACATTATCACCATTAGTAAACCCTATGTGGAACATCCATACCCCAGGGCTGTTAACATTGGACCAGCTGTGGAGACAAGAGGAATACTTGTCAATTCAGGGAAAAGAAGTATAACTCAGACAAAGGTATTGGTTTAAAATAACATATTGATTTAAGTTACAAAGGGTATATTTTCTAAATAAAAAGCACCTCACAACTAATATATGATGAACCATTCCATACCTGATTTTAATTAGGTATAAAATTAAATTATATTATTATTAAGATATAGCATCATTTAAAAAAAAAATGTAATTTTTAAATCATACATGGGGTCTTTAATGATGGGAAATTATCTTGTAAATGAATTATAACAGTCCTTTGATAAGATGACCTTGGCATAATTAAGATAAAAGGAAAGTGTCAAATAAAATGTTTTGAAGAGCATTTTCCTTGTTCCTTTATACATATAATAGTCACTTGCTGAAGACCATGTACTTTCTATTAGAATTAAATTAATGCAAATTACATACTAATTATAAATAATACAAAACCGTTCCATTATTACGATCATATCAAATTGTTATACACACACATATATATATATATACTCACAGTGCAAAGTTGGTGGCGCCCTTGGTGGCAGAGCCAGGCAGTGTCAGTCCTCTTCTCTTGTCTCCAGCGTCAAACCCGGCCTGGGCAGGCACATCTGGGGCCAGGGGAGCGTTCTTGCCCCAACTCTGGATCCAGTTGATGTCAACATAATGGAAGAGAGCAAAAGTATCTCTCCCATCTGTGGCTAGCACAACCTGAAATGTGTTCACCTGAAAGAAACAAACACGATGTGTTAGTTGTGACAGATGCGTTAGGTGTCACCTGATTTGATGGACTGATTCTGCTATTATAGGCCTAAAATCAATCTGTGCATTGTGTACTAAGACGAAGGTAATATGTTTTGTTCTGACAGTTTCTTGAACATTCATGTTTAGCATTATGTCTGTGTCTTTCGCAAAACGGGTTACGGTCACCCGGAAAACATCGACAGAAAAAATGTTTTCCTGCGATTATTAAAGGGAGTGTGTTAGGTGAGACCCCAGTGATTGAGACGTGGATTGCGTTTGACGATCACAAGGAATTCTCAAGATCTTACCAAATCATGCTGCCTGTCATAGTAACCAACTCTGTCCCACGTGGCGATGAAAAGCATTTTTGCTCTAAAGTTGTTGACATTTTTAAAGTGTTGTTGAATGGACCGCGATGCCCTGTTTAGTAATTGCTGATTAGCTACTTCTTTTCTGAAAAGTAAATGAATAGGTAAATAAAAATAGTGTGAAATTGATATTTAGCACAGTTTTGTAGTATTTATGAGATGATCGCGCTATTGCAGAATATCTTTAATGCTAATGACTAAGTTCAATGGACAAAACTAAGCTTGAAGAAATATGCTTTGGTACAGTTCTTTATCTATCTAGCTACTTAGGTATTTTTTGGCATCCTACTCAATGAATTAAAATATCATCTTCTTAGATATTAACAGAGACTAACCTATAGTAGATATTGCCTGACTCATCAGTGGTTGTGTCTATGTCTGCCAAGAACACTGCTATCACTTCATAGCCTATCCGTGGCAGGATCAGGTCACTCTTGTGGCGTGGAAGCTCCGTCACAAAAGACAGGTGACCGTTACTATTTACCTGGAAAGAGAGAGTCCGTTTACTGACTATCATTGTTTTGTAGGTAAGAATGTAACCATTATATCTGAGAGAGAGAGAGAGAGAGAGAGAGAGAGAGAGAGAGCATGAAATAATCACTTAACAAAACACATTATGAAGCCATCAGAATATACCGGGCTAACATTTAGATTTCACCCATTTTCGTGTTAAATCCACAAAAATCGACGCCCTGAACATTCTAGTTACATCACATTCACATTTCCATTTCGATTCTCTTTTTCACCCCAAACTTTGTTTTTGATTGAGGGATGTTTTAATACCCGTTGTCAGGAACATTTGAACCCTTTTGAAGTACAAGCCAAGGGAGTTGCACCTCTGAACGTGCTTGATTTTTGATAAAAAGATATCACGAACTACAAAGGTCACAGAGACCCAGAGCACTCTATGAATAGAAGTGAATTAAGTTGCTTGCAAGAATTTCTTATAAAACAGAACTGATTACAGCCACCAAGAACAAACCTGGGTGTACATTTATTCCTGTTTTCTATATATCCTTATATTCCTTACTCAGTTTTTAATTGAGATATTTTACAAATATACTGATGTTTCTTTTATCATTCCTGTGACCCATGTTGGGTTTATTTACGATGCCTAAAAAAAAAAAAAACAACAAAAAACACTTTTTGTCTTGAAAACCCGTCCGCTAGTCTGGGACGATCATCATCCCCACAATGCGCCGGTCTGCGTTGAATCTTCTCCGATTCCTCATCTCGAATCGATATTTTGGCTGGGATTATCCAAAGCAAAGAAAAGTAGCTTTATTTTATCAATGCAGAGATAAAACTTAGACCCTCAGAATTGTTTTGGTGGCTTTAATCTGTTAATGCACAAGAACATGATCTGGGGGCACAAAAATAATCCAGACAGAGTTGTAAAACTCCCCCAATCCCGTTGGCTCGTGGCCTGATTTTTCTGCTCTTTTCCTTTATCTTATTTCTCGCTATTAAGACTGTTCGCCTTTTGCTCTCTATTATACAGCAGTTCTCACTACACAGTTATGCACGTAGAACCTTGTGCTCAGGGCCGATACTAGAAATCCACCAGCTGATAGTGCTGGTATACATTTTCAACTGCTGGCGGGCTAGTTGTAAGAAACAAGCCACGTTGTTTTAAACATTCGTGTCTGCAGGAGAGGATCACAGTCGGCGAAAACATAAAGCCAGTGATGCTCGTGCCTGTTTAATCTGAACAGGTACTCTTTACAGAATAATGGAAGCCCAAGACAGATTGGTTTGCTAAAGAGAATTGGAAAAATATATTAAAATTACATTTTCTCGTTTTTGTATATAATTTCTTTCGAGTGAGATTTATCAGCGTTCGCGAATTGATCTTGTTATTTTAATACAAGAGTATGAAAGTTAAAAAAATTGTCTTTGTCACGTACGCGTATCATTTCACACACATGTAAACGACAAGGGTTTATCCACCACTCCACATATGACAGCCATATGCCCGTCTTCTAGTAAGGATGTACAGGCGCGACCAGATGGGAGAAAGGCCTCGAGCAGCAACGCGTCAAGATAGTTTATGTGCGCTTGAGATAAAGAACAAAATCTTAAGCACGTACACTGGGCAGTTGAATTGTTCAGAGTGATTTTGATTCCTGTTTTTGCTATTTTTTATAATTTTTTCTTCACCGACCAAGACAGGATAGTGGAAACTGTCAAAAACTTCACCTGCGCCAGGATAAAAGTGTATTTCGGTGTTTTAGAAGTTAACGTTTATTCTGCCTGCACTGTAATATTGCGACTGAGCGGATAATTACGAGAATACGTACTAACATGGACTTTATCCCAGCATGTCTTCAGAGCGTTTCCTTTTTATTTATCAAAAACCACTCATGGGAGGAAGCAAGCGAAGTACAAGAGGAACAAGAAATTTAAGGGGGCGGGAAGATATAGCGATATGATAAGAATTGACACCTGTGACAAGGCCAAAAAGTTTTATGGTTTCCTTCCCCGGGTTTTCTTTACTCAGTTGACAGCGAGAGATATTTTCCTAACAATTTTCAGACTTTGACTTTATGTAAAGGGTATATGGTATGGGTAATAACGAAATGAATGCAATTTTGATTAACTTGTCAATGAAAACTCAAAAATGCAAACGGAAGAATACAGAAATTTTACATAAAAAATAACAATAAGTGAATCAACAGGTGCACATATGAACAGCCTTGTCAGGTAACAGACATTATGACTACTAAAGTTTGTGTAGGCTACACATACCACCTGAGGTACACAGCCCATTATAATCATCACCATCACCACCATGTTATTCAACTAGTTCAAGCATACAGACTACGCCTTAGGGACTCTCACTGAATGCAAGCAGATTGCAATCAAAACCCGCGGAGCTGGATCGATCTTCGTAGAACGGAAGTTTCATTGGGAATGAGCCCTTAAATACATATGAAGTTGTTTGTGCATTTTATTAAAGGGACACAAGTCAAAATGTCTTAAAGAAAAGAAAGAGAGAAAGAGTGTCTTCCCGACTTTATAGAAAACTTAATTCATTTCCTTTAAATTTTCAAACCTTGAGTAACTGGAATTCAAAAGAAGGGGAGGATCTAAATGTTGCACAGAAAACAAAATGACTCCAAAGCCTGAGTACTCCCTGAGTACATCTGTATCAAGGTCTACCAGCTGGTTAGTATCCAGAAATACACCCTCTACCAGGGTCAGAGAGGAACATTTTCATTAGATATCCTAGGATACTTCTGCAGCAATTGTGTGCTGCCCAGAGAGAATTTTTGAAGAAATATATTTTCCAAATAAAGAAAATAAGAAGGAATTGATAGCTGAATTGGTTCCTTTAAGAGGAAATGTCCCCAAGATAATGATGGCCAGCCCTATGTTCTTTGACGGACGCAGTGGGTAGCACTAAAACGAGACAAAGTCCAGACATTCGGAAGTATTGGGTGCATTTTTAGGGTTAAGTCCTTACGAAACTTTTACACCAAATCCGGACATTAGTGTATAAGTCCATAATGGGGCTTGTGTTTTTCGTAGTAGAAAGGGCTGCAACATATAAGCTGCTATGTTGATAAATATTATGACAGTTACAGTATACTGATTCTGTGATCAGTGTTTCTGTCTGTCGACGTTTTGTTAATAACGACCAAGCGCAAATGTTATTAATGAAATGTTTTAACAAACTTACGTAAAATTTCCACAGGCTTTCCCATCTCTTTACATCCATATTTTATTATTATTATTATTATTATTATTATTATTATTATTATTATTATTATTAAAACCAACACAATCTCTAGATAGTCCTCACACTAGTAAAAGTAACTGAAGAAATCGTCTGTGGTGATTTTATGCCAGTGCACTAGTGTTAATAAGGGTCTCGTGTTAACTATAAAACCTCAGACGCTGCGGTGGTATTCAGAACGGATTAAGGCATATTTCAATTAAACACGCTCCTCACAGCATTACGGCGTTCAAATCTTATGCCTCTTCCGTTCTTGCAAATCATTCACATCTGAAGCGTTGCATGAAATGAAACGCAATCTTCTAATATGCAGAAGCCATACCCGAAACCCTCAAACCTGCTTGAGGGTTATCTTGCTCTCGTTTGTGGTACAAGAAATTCTGAAGTATCTTTGCGGTTTGCAAAGGTGCAGTGAGTCCTGGTGTCTACATGTATGAGTTCTAGGTTTTGATATTGTTACAGCTGTTTGATGTAGCTGTTTTTGTGAGGTTTTCTACTGTCATCCAAGTTCATAATGGTAACTTGAGCGCATTAGCTTCATTTTTTCACAAATCTCATAAAAAGTAATAATCATTTCTGGGGTAAAGTGGCAGCAAAGTTGTACTTAACCTCTCGTTTAAAGCTACACGTATACGTTAAAAGAGAGCAGTAGCCATGTTTATCGCGAATTCATAGTAATACTACTGCTATCCTGGATTCCAGTTCTGCAAGATAGAAGTTTAAATATCAATAAGTGGATGATAATAATTGCACTTCCAAGGAAATAACAGATATTCTAAGAGGTATTTGTGCTTAAGCGAAATATTAGTATTTGGTGATGTTTTCCGTCATTGTGGGTATTATATATATTTCAGGTCATTTACTGGGATATTTAAGTGTATGTTTTTGGTTGTGTATTTCTTGTCCTCCCAACTATTGAATTGCAAGCGTGCTTAGAAAATTCCATGCAAAAATTGCAATAAAGACGCGCATCTGAGGGAGTTTGGAAATTGGGTTTTTAAAACTTTTTGGCCTGGATAACCCTTATATTTCCACAGCTTCCTATCCATTTATCATATTTCTTATATCTTTAAAGAGAAGTTTTAATTATGAGTTGCAGCCTATCGCACTCCTCCAATAAGTTAAGATGTGAGGTTTGCACAAATTTAAGACCCTTTTCTACAAGCTGAGAAAATTATTCTTCACAGACGGCAAGCAAAATCATCTCTAAAACTTATTTCAAGGATGCTAAATACGCCAGCGGGAGTGATCGTTCTGTTTCACTGTTTCTCACTATTGTCTTTTCGTTAACCTAAAAAACACAAAATTTGCCTACACTTTTTTTAGCCAGAAAGTATTTCTGTATGGAAAATTCGACAAGTTATGCCCGAGTCCCATCTTACTCCCTGTCATATTTAAATTCAGTGCTAGGTAAAGATTTAAAAGTATAGCCACCAGTATCAGAGTACAGCGGCTGACATACAGAATATTAACACTGCTGAAATATGTTTCATGAGCAATATTTTTGTCTGCTTTTGTTCATATAAAATGTAAGATAAAAGTCAGAACACCAGGGTGACTAACATCTGTAGAGAACATTACGCTGGGAAGAGAGATAAAGAAGACACAGGGAGACAATTGTTCTGACAGAAACAGGAGAGGAAATCCACCGTGCTGGGATCAACACCAGATAGCACATGTGGGACTTACGGAGTGTCGGGAACTTCTCACTTTTTCCGTTCTTTCTGTGATCGGTCATCTAGTTCAAGGATATTGAAACCAGACGTTTCCGCTTACTTGGCCTACCTACTCGTCCCTTACCTCCCCCTCTTACACCTCTTGAAAAACGAGCATCAATTAAAGAGAAAGACTACCGCGCTCAGACTCAAGTACTCTTCTGTTTAGAAACCGTGCCAGGGTTGTAAATTGACACCTCTTTTATTTCACATTATTATGCCTATCGTTAAGGCACGTGCACTTGAGGGACGTACTGTTTCTTAACGAGGTGGGATAGAAACCATTCTTGAGAGTTGCCTTTCTACTGTTATTATACAACCGCGTCTAACAGCCGGCCCTCGTATTTTACTAACATTTTTTCTCTTTTCTTTACAGTACAGAAATCGGGGAATAAACGAATATCAATACAGAAAGAAAAGTTATAGGCGAATGAAATACCTTTTACCAAGCTTATTCTCTACAACCTTCTTACAACCTTCTTACAAAAAAAAAAAAAAAAAAAAAAAAAAACGACGTTTATTGTATGGGGAATCGTCTTTATACAGATTCATCACTGCTTCGTTTTTGGTTTTCATTATTTAAGACAATAATATGCATGGTTAAGAGGACGTGCCTGAACAGTCTGACGTGTTTTTGTAATGTGTAAGGCCTGCACAATGCCTAAACCGCAGGAATTAGATAAAACACTTTAATTATAGCATATTTTAGAGTGCCATGTTTTTTTCTGGCGTGCTGGGGGAAGGGTGGGTAATTAAACGAATGTTTTTTTTTTCGAAATTGACCACAGGTAAGATTGGTTATCTGTAGATTTGATCATGTTTTCCTCGTAATAAAACGCCGAAAAGGAGAAGATAGGGCGCGGTCTATGAACTTTATAAGTCTGAAATAAGTCATTAATATCTTCTGAAATGTCCCTCAACTGAGCTATCAGATGGGCATGGGGTCTGAAATAAGCAATAACATTCTAAAACAGGCATTCCAAGAAGCTTATCCCATCTCAGGTGTAAATGGGTATTATGGTCCAAGTAAGTTTTGGAAAATATAATAGGAAATACAACCTTAACTTGCAAAAAATCCAAATACACAGAGTTGATAAACTTCAAGTGCCTAGAAAGGGAATACCAAGCTGACAGAGGTCCTAAGAGTGGTTGTGATGGGTAAGAAATAATAATAATGAATGCAAATCAGTCTTTTTTTTCTTCAAAATGTACCATTATTTTATGGCAAGTATTCGATCTAGTTTTATATGAACTCGCAGTAATTTGTTAAGCCTGCACGTTTACCACGCACCTGGTAGTAGATGGTAAAGATAACGGCGCCCGCTAACCGCATACCGCTCATATGCATCTACAGCTGAATGAGGAATTATCACCCCAGAAATGTTGTCTATTTTGTTGGGATTAATCGCCACTTATTTTGAACATATTCTCGGGCACTAGAGAACATTCCTGAGTTCACAGAGATATTTCTTGGTCTACCTGCGCCGGCAATAAATTGGTTTTTGACGTCTTCTGCGTACTCTTCTACTTTACAGTCGAATGCTCAGAGGTGCTTGTATGTAGAGTAGTCAAAGAGAGAGAGAGAGAGAGAGAGAGAGTGGGTGGGAGGGGGTGGAGAGAGAGAGAGAGAGAGAGAGAGAGAGAGACCCACACATGTTGTGTTTATTTACAGTTGTATGTTATTTTAGCGCTCACGATAGTAATTACTTAAAGCCACTTTTTCCTATTCAGTTTAGTTTAACGTCCCAACATGTGGATTGGATTTCAAAATAGAGAGTAATGGGAGGATAATGTAACAGCTACCGAAGTGTAAACACAGTAGACTGTGATTTTCGGATTAACAGCATCTTTAAACCTGTCAAGACGGCTTAGCAATTTAATCCTCAGGATACTTCCTTTAATGCTGACAGCTATCTTCACAATGCCGATGAAACAACGGAAGTTTTTGTGTAACAGATTTTGGAATCTCGGCTGTCTGTGAAGAATAACAGACATGTGGCAACTGAAGCCATGTGCTGAAAACATGTTGTCCCGTGCCGGCTTCCCGCTTTTCTACATAGTTCTTATCTTTTAGAGACAATTTTAACAATTTTGATACATCGTAACATTTCTGTATGTCAAAATTGTAGAATTAAGACTGCATACTGTTCTTTCAAACGATTAAATGATTACCCTAATATTACAAAGATATATATATCAATTCGAGGGTTTTTTGAAATGGAATGTTTATTGATCATAAAGAACCTTAACATACAAGGTACAGATCATCGATANAAAAAAAAAAAAAAAACTACATGGAACATACGAATTAAACTTACACCTAAGAATGGATATTTTACTGACCGACATCCAACTATAACAAGGCACCATAACACTACTAGCAATAATGACGCACAATTACAATGAGAAATAAATGAATAATTATATAGGTTATATATCCAGCTACAGTAGTTTTTTTGTGTGTAGCATTTCGTAAACCCATACTATCTATCCATCCCGACTTTGCTAATGACACACAGGGATTATGTTAACTAGTGTTCTGGATAGTGAGCAACTTATCCCTAAGTTTTAAACAGCTACCTAAATATTGTACTACAACATATATAATGTCCATCTCAACAGACCCCATTAGAAAGTTGAATATTTCTTTTTCACTAAACCCTTCAAATGATACAAAAGACTCTAGCTTGAAATGACAATGCAGCTGTACAGGACAGACCACCGGTCGAGATCGAAAGCAGTTTCTGAGGGTATCCACGCCTTTTTCCGCTCCATTTCTGCCAGCAAAAGTTTACAAGCTTAGCAGCTATCCTGTAAACACCTCAGTATCTGTGAACTGTCTTGTCTCTCAGTGTTAGACATTCACTTTTGCATTTAGAACATTCAAGCAGACAGTAACGGTTAAATAAACTGACCTTTCATTGAGAAGTGATTAAGGAAGCGCACTGTTGCCATTGAGTTATTCCGCGGCATCATCAGCGACCAACGAAGCTTTAGCCTTATCTACATAAAACGCCCTAGCAATTACTTTCCAAGACCTTAAAAAATCTTGAAATGAGACGAAAAGAAAGGAAATACCTATAAATCAGCCATGGGAATGATTTTTTGGGATTTCTGACGTTTTGGTAAAGAGTTAACATTTCGCATCATGTCAGCGGGTGCACGTACCCGTACCCTTGTACAATTGCTTTTATGGAATATCATTTGAAAAATCTCTTCACCAGCTGCTGCTTTAAATGTCAAACGTTAAAATAGTTATAAAAATTGTAATAAAAAAGAACGAAGTGAATATGAAACCCAGAAAGTAAATCAAACTTACAAAAATACTTCTGTGTCTTTTGTTGAAGAAACCGATATCGATATCAAGTGGGATCTCCTTGGAGCTAACATCGTCTCCTTTCCTTAGTACTTTGTCTCCGTTGCTGGGACCAAACGGGTACAGATCCTCTCTCGGAACTCCTAGAGACGCGGAGAAAGAGCAGAGAAACACAAGCAGAAGTTGCACGGTACCCATCGTCGTTCTGAAGGCAATGTGCTGTGTTTCCTTCTTCGTGAAATGATACCGAAGAACCCCCCGCTTAAGAAGTGTAAAGCGCTGAGATTTAAGCAGATGGAGTTTTGCATGACGTCACTCAGTCTCCTGTCTGTCAATACTTAGCTGGCGGCGTGAACACCCTGTGCGTTCACACTACGCGTATACTAGAAGGTATTCAGGGTACAGACATGCGTCAGGGTGTCTTTGATTAATTTTATCGAACCGAATTAATTTTTTTTATCAAAGTGTAAAAAAGGCAAGTTTTATTGAAGAAACAACCCAAGATTCGAACTGATATTTTCATTAATTTTGTTTCGTTGCCTTTATTTTGCATCCGTCCTAAATGCGATGACACTATTGCATTCATCAGTGAACACAACCTTTTTTCTTGTAAATATTTTGACTTTACAAAAATGTGAAATCAAAGCATTGCATTCCATCTTTTTCAATAACGAACTTTAACCTGCCCTTTTATTGTCCGCTGTATNAAATCGAACAGGTTGAGTGCAGAACAAACTCAGTTTCTTGTTTGCACCCAAAAGTTGCAAAGACATATCAAAACATCTTCTCATATAGCTTTATAACGTATAATCACTTTCCTACCGGTACTTCATAAATTAATATATTTATTTACCTTTCATTCATTTATTCATTTACATACATAAGAATTAGATTACCATAGGCAGTCAACAACTTCAACATTAAAAATTGATACAGATAATTATTAAATAAGGGCCACGATTGATGACGTCAGAAAAAGACCGGTTTAGAACCGTTCTACCTCGTACGTGTAGACACACCCAACAACAGAATCGTTTAATTTCCAACCTGACATTTCCAAAGCTCAGCCAATGCCAAAAGCTCATGGTATAGTGATGATAACAGAAATAATGCAGTAGACATTTCTTTACAGAAGAGGAGTAGATACTGCGATTATCTTTAGCCTATCAAACCCTGAGCTATCAACAGCAGACGTTGATCCACGAAGAAATCCACTGAAGACACTTCTCTTTGGATAATTACTTAGAAAAACGAAGCAGTACCGACAGTGAAAACTGAGCAGAAAATGAAATGGAAACTAAGAGGATTTCGCAATAATCTTTTGATCTTATAATAATTACCACAACAACATTGATAATAATAATAAGTGTTCTCACGTTCTTTGATCAAATCAAATCAATTCAGTGCAGTTCTCAATTTTGTTCTTAAGTAATTTTCCGGCTCAATTACACCACTCAAACTGTTAAAACAGCTGCATTTTGCATTTTGCAAGATTTTTGATACTTTTCATTGATGCCCTGAACGTAAAGTAATGAACCCACAGGTAAAATACGTCCCCTATTTCACAGCGCACTAGCACATTATACCGGTAGTGAGTACCACAATCTGCTTACTCCTAGAACAAAAATGACAATAAGACAATGGCAGTGACTTAATTCCCATCAACAAATCTGTGGTTCAGAACAATATATCAGTCGGAAAATACAAATATATATGAATATAAAAATTAGTAATAATAAAATATTTACAATAAGTTTATTTGAAACACCGCAACCAATAGTTTGAAGTTGTACAGATAAAAATTAGTTCGAATGAAAATTATAAAATAAAATATTTACATAAAATTAATGATCAACATTAAAACAAAATTGGATTCGAAATAAAACACAGACCTCTAAAAGTTGGCGAAAAGAAAGAAAGAAAAAAAAAAACGGGAGAAAAGTGTTCCAGAAACGTGCATTCTTGAATTTTGGTACATGCATGGCAGTTGGATTGGTCATGTCTTAGCTTAGTACCTGCGTGAATACATGCAATGATGTACAGTTAATTTAACCTGGAGAGTTGACTTTATCTTTTATGGGAAGAATATTAATTTTGCAAATTTGATAAGTAATTTATAACTTTGTAGGTTGAGTAATTTGACAAACTTATGTATACATTAGCAGGAGCAGTAGACAAGACTTTTCTCACGTAATCAGAAACTGGTCAAATCGTGTGTAATGAATTAAACTTCAGCGTGATTTTGTATCTCCACTTGGTGTGTGTGTGTGTGTGTGTGTGTGTGTGTTAAATGAAGCCAAAGCTCAAAGCGATTACGATGTGTTAATCTTCAAAGAACACATGCTTAGTAACTGATAGGTGCGCTGAAGGCATGCTGTTTCACATATGTACAATCTTTTAATGACTACTTGGATTAGAGTAATGAAGTATTATGTTTAATACACAATTATAATAATAATAACATGCCCACCTTGTTATAATTATTAGCTAAATTTTTTGTTATTGAAATCGAACAAATAACAAATAACGAAAATCAAGACAGAAATGTGCACTTCAGATAGAGTTGTCAACCATTTTCACTATGTTCCGATATCTAAACTCAATTTAGGAAAAAAGCTGGAATTCATTTAATTTCTCCATATATACCCAGTATTTGTAAAATAAATATGCAAGTTTAAATTCGCTTTATATATTTATCAATTAATTTTAATAGATGTCGTTTCTTTACCGAAAAAATTGGGGTTAAGGGAACTTTCCAAATGTTAGGCCTGTACGCAGCATTTCTGAACAGGCCTGTGAAGTCTGAACCGTTCTTTTTGATTTACAGCTGGGGTTATCGCCTTCGTTAACGCCATTCCTGGGATGTCTTTCCTCGCCGAAACCGCTATCAGCTTCGAGGAAACGCAGCGTTCAGGCTCTCACCTGATGAAGTCGGCTAATGATCTCCGCTGAATGATCGGACAGCTGTTCTCCCTGCGTGGAGAGATGAGCCAGAATGCTCAGAGTTATGTCCGGGAGTATTACTACACATTCCGGTCATTTAGACATCTCATAGGGGGATTTCTTTTCCTTGTAGTAGAATCTGGACAGTTATTTGGGAGAGATGAAAGTTGAAGAGATGCAGGCGCCCACAAGATATACATTTTAATAATGCTGTACACTGTATTATGTGGGGCTCTATTTATCAAGTTACTATTTTTTTACGTAATTACATGTGCCTTTAGTTAACACAAGAATATTGAGTTAACTATGAATTATGTATAAACATACATATAGATATAAAAACTAATAGTGTAAAGACCCTGTTAAATGAAATGTGTACATATTTTCGTGCTCAACAGAGTAATATTCTTATCGAATATCAGGACCGGTTTTTCTAAGAATGAAACATTTCATATTTCGTTCCATACATCCATCTCAGGAGGCCCAGGTCAGCACAAACGACCAAGCGATCAAGCAATTTGCCTTCAAATTAAAATCGATAATCGGAAACAATTCAGACTGATTTCAATTGGCGATAGAAGCTGAGCCCTGGGGAGTGGGATAGTGCTGGCATGGATGGAGAATTATGTGGGAATAAGGAGAGGTTAGGAAGGAGTGTCTTTTTACATATCATTACTTGTATGTATAATAAGGGTACATTTCTATATATGTAATTTTGGTGCTATTCATCTATGTATTTTATTATTATTATTATCATCATTATTATTGTTGCTGTTATATCTCTGTACATTTTCACCAGCTCAGTCTGGTGCAGAAAGTATGAATAAAGCATATATATATCAACCAACGTAGCTGGTCACTCTGTTATTGTCGAACGCTAAAAATACGATGATTTAAACGATTTTTGTAGATATCGGGATCTGCGAGTCTCCCAGACTTCCCAGTCACGCCTAACCATTGGGGTTTCGGCGTGCAGCTTACTGGTCTGTTTGCCTGCCATAGTTGCAGGCAAATAGCAGAGTGTAAAACGAATATTTGCATATTTGCACATGTAGACATGATACGGGTTACGCTTCTCACACAACAGTGAAGGATTATAGATCATTATAGCAGCGTCAAATACGAAGGTGCAAAACTACCACTAGAGAGGATTTCAGAGGTAAAAGGCGAGTTCCCAGGTAAAGATATATCCAAGCGTGTCCCCAGGGGCATTAAGGTGGAGAGTTTGACCGAAATACGCTTATTACTGACTACACATTCACATGGATAAATGAATGGATGAATGAATGGACAAATGAATGAAATGAATAAAAGATGAACAACGACGTCAATTTTGCAATATAAGTCCTCACTCATTATCATTCTTAAATATAGTTAAGGTCTGTTGACTTTGCATTACATCTAAATCCACTCTGTGATCTCAATTTTAGATAGGTCTGATATAATTGTCTGCAATTCACCCAACAAAGAAACCAATTATCCTTTCAAAGACTCAGTATCCACTCTATTTAAAATCGTCTTATTTTCTCTCAGAAATTATGTGCATGTAATATCGTCTGATTGCTTTTACGGACTCAGCCAGTGTTTTCCATTTTGAGTAGTAATAATCAGTTCGTGAAGTTCCAATTTTTTAACAATGCGACTGTTGTTATGTGTACACATTGATGAGATGGCGGATTGCGTCCATCTCACCTAACACATCTATTATGGCCGTCTGGCGTTGACAATAACATTGTTTTTATCCACAAGTTTAAACTTGCTAGTATTTTTGCGTCAATTTGTAAAACAATAATAAAATAAGCCTTAAATTCAAAGTTGAACCCTAACAATTTATTGCCTGTGGTTTCTAGTAATCTAGTAGTCAGTGAATTCCAGTAAGCAGAAACTGCAATATTTCTTGTTTTCACTTCAGACTTTGGTAATTAAAATCTGCTGGGTGATGCTTTAAATGTTTTCTTTCATTGTCTTATCGAGGCTACATCTTGAATATTATAAACATATGTTCTTGAGTAACGTGTTGAAGTGACTCAGTATGATAATAGTGCCACTGATTGCCGTAAAACTAAGTTAATTTACATCCATAGAGTGACATATTAAAACACATTCTAAGCTACTATCTGGGAAATATATGAAAATACATCAATGTCTTAAGCGCTAAGATATATGTCCAATTCTGAGTAAATAGTAATACAAATTTCGCAGCCATCTCTGAATCTGCCAGGCCTAACTGTTTTTGTCTAAATGAGAAAAGGTTATTCGAAGTGTAAGTTTGTCTTTCACATGTGCGCTTAAAAATAACTTTACGCGGAAAGCTCTTTCAATGACAGTTCTCGCAAAAACTTCGCACACAGCAGTGTTACTTTGTATTAAAAGGAATATATTTGTTGACTTGAATTGTGATCAGTTCTACTTTTGATAATTGCTGCTTTCTCGATGTCGTTATCCCTGCAATCCCCTCTGTCTCCTCCAAATGGCATACGACAGACCGGCATACTGTCGGAGCTAGAAAGAACAAAAACCATCTTGTAGGCTATATACATGTTACAGTATACAGACAAGCAGCCATATATCTTTATATATTTCCACATAGTTTATCATACTAAATTATGTTCTACAAAAATCCATATGCTGAAGAGGAAATAACTCCAGAAATACTGTGATATGACAATTAAAATTATTGTTACGTGCATCGACCCCCTTTTGTTTAGTTCAAAGCACGGGGCATACATTAATAAAAAAATAATTCAAATTAAAAATTATAGCAAAACGATAAAGTTAGCTAGATTTTACACGTACTTGGCATTCATTTCATAAATGAATGTTAAGATCATATTTAAACAAGGCAGCAAAGCTGTCAAATGTACAGACAAAAAACAGGGAAAAAAAGATGCAAAATAGGTCAATTTGTCAATTTTGATGCAATAATAAATAATGCTTATAATAGCACAGTCTGTCAACAGTGATTTTTAATCATGCACAACAGGTAACATGGTCAATAACAGGAGCAGATCCAGAGATATTTTCTGACAGTATTCCAAAGTATCTATGTTGATCCATCCTCCATTTTGATGGTCTTCCAACAGAAAAAAAATAGATACCAGTCAATATAAACTTAATAACCTGACTGTCTTCCGGAAGACCCAGAAGATGGTCTCAATCCACCCCTTCAATAAGATTACAGTTTCAGGACCATGAGAGACCAAAGTCACATGATGAAAGTCTCAATATTTGAAAAATGA